ATGTTTTTGTCTAGTCGGTTCCGTATCGTTGATCGAATCCTCGTACGACCCAGCGAGCTTTGAATCGTTCGATGGAGCCGTCCGCATTGGTCTTGATGCGGTACACCCACTTTCCCGAGAGAACGTTCTTCCTGTTGATGTTCGTTGCAGGTACCAGCTTCCATGTATTTCGGTCTTGCAGAGCTTTCAGTTCCCTTTCCATTGCTTCCTTCCATTTCGCCTTGTGTTCCCCCCCCCCAGAGCCTGTGACAGGGTCGTTGGCTCGTGCGGAGACGGCGGCGGCGGATGCTGGACGGAGACCCATAAGCCGAGTATCTGCAGTCCCGTGGGTGTGTGTCAAGGGGAATTTTCATTCCCCGAATAGGCTGCTTCGTCACCATCTTCTGGATCAGGTAAGAAGTTTGGGCCGATGCGTTCTGAGACATTTGTGTCGACCGGGTGAGGTGTAATGTAACCTTGGTCAGCGAAGTGGTAAAGGGTGCAGAGGTTGTTGCTATCGAGAGGATTGTCTTTGTCGAGTGGAACAGACACGGAACAGTAAGGGAGTGGTCCGGCAGCTTCCGAAGCTCCAGGTACGTCTTCTTCTGCTGCGTCAGCCTCGGCAGCACGGTCGGCGAAGGAGCGAAGGCCTGCGACACCGTCGGTGGGGTCGTCTGTGTTGGCGACGTTGTCCAGGTAATGCTGCAGCGTCAGTCGTTCGTAGAAGATCACATCACGTGATGCCACGGTATTTTTGTCTTGTATGTCGAGGATTTTCCATGCTTGAAAATGTTTTGCGATGCCGAGGTGTAATCCCCACCGTGCTCGTTGAGTGAATCGTCCTGCTCGGGCTGTGTGGGGTCTGTACTGTACCATGCAGCCGAAAACCCGGAGTAATTTTGTGCTGCCCCTTTTTCGTGTCCACAGCAGGTGCGGTGATGCGTTGTTGGGAAGCGAGGACGAGGATAACAAATTGTGCAGGTGGACTGCATGGGTCATCGCGTCTGGCCACAGTGTGTTGGGCAGTCTCATCCCCAGGAGCAGCTTCCGCATCGTCGTCTGCAAGGTCCGGTTCATTCTTTCTACGACCCCCTGCTGCTGGTGAGCGTAGGGCAGAGACACCAGGCGTATGATTCCTCTTTCCGCCAAGTAGTTCCTGAATCGTTGTGACTGTTATTCCAGTGCGCCATCTGACTGGAAGCTCTTGAGCTTGGTTCCTGATTCTCGTTCAGTGATGGGGAGCCACGTCGTGAAGGCTTCGAAAGCTTGATCGCGCGTCTTGAGGTTGTAGTGCCAGACATATCTTGTTGCTGCATCGATGAACGTGATGACATAGTTGAAGTCGGCTTCAGTGTCGTCTCGAGGCATGTTTAAGATGTCGCTGTAAACTTTTTCCATCGGTGCGTATGCAGGTGCGCTTGGGTTGTGATGTGATGGAAAAGGTTGGTGAGGAAGATCGGCTTCAGGACACGTGAAGCACCGTGCGCGTGGTCGTCGAAGTTCTTGGCCGCTCGTTGTAAGAAGAGCGTTTCTCTCTAACACTTCGGCTTGGATGGTTTGTCGTACCGTGCTGTTTGCAGGATGTCCAAGGCGTTGGTGCCAGATGTCGTCGGGGGCGCGATGGCCGGGCGAGCGTTGGTACATGTCGGCGTTGGAGAAGAACGCGACGACCGTGGCGGGACTTCGGCAGACTTCGCGTGTGATGGACATAAGTTGATCTGCTTCGGTTGGCGGTCCTCGGATCGCTGGTGATGGTACTCGGCTGGGTCCTGCTGCTGCTACTGCAGGTGATGTCTGGGAAGAGACGCTTGCTGGTACTTGTCTTTCTTGTCTGATGACTGCTAGCGCTCGTGTTCTTTCTGCTGCAGGTATGGTGTTGGAGTACCAGAATCCATCTGGGGTGAAGTCGGGGTCAAGATCCGGCGGGTGCGTCCAGGCTGCGAACGACACGATGCCATCGCTGTCGGCAGTACCGCGGTCGGGGACGAAATCCAACACGAAGACGCCCGACTTCAGGAGAGCGCGACCGATGAAGAGGCCGCCCTTCCCGTGGTAAAGACGAAATTCGTTGGAGTCCGAGTCGCATTCCAGGTGAATACCTTTTGCCATCAAGTGGCTGACGCTGAGTAAATTGTATCCCAAGTTGTCGACGATTAGAACTTTGTTGAGTTGTAGTATGACGTTCGTCTCCATTGACTGAAGCTGAACGACGCCTTGTCTGTTTGTTTTCAGGTTCTCGTTGTTGGCGACAGTGATGATGACATCACGGTTGAGGCGTTGCTCGCGCTGCACGAAGCGCCCGGAAGAACACATGTGTTGACCGCAGCAGCTATCCAAGAACCAGGTGTTTCGTCCGGTGGGTTTGGCGTTGGCGACTGCAGCGTATGTCGGGTTAACCTGAAGTCCTTATGAGCGTGGCGGCGGCAGTTCTTCTTCCTCTGGAGCGTAAGTGGGTGGTGATCCTAGTGCGCAGCTGTCGATGTGTACCATGCAATTGATGATGTTTGGTGTGCCTTCTGCAGATGAGGATGAACGTCTCGGTGGGCTTTCTTGAGTGGAAGCGACTTGTGGGTCTACTGGACGATAAGCTCTGGGACGCGTGCAGTTGATTTTGGAGTGTCCGGATGTTTGGCAGTTGTGGCAGAACGGCGGCACAATGGTGAGTCCTCTGTTGTCGCGTTGATCTTGCTTGCCGCGTCGATTGCAGTTGTTGTCGTTCCTTCGTTGAGTGTAGAAGACTAACGGTTGCTGCTTCCTTGGTTGTCTTTCTTCAAACAGGTCCATCTCTCGTTGTTCAGCATGGAGCTCGGCGCAGAGGTGCATCTCCGAGATTCGTCCGTGGGCGCGAAGAAGCGAGCGGGTGGTTCTCCATTCTGGCCCGAGCCCAGCGAGGACAAGCGTCACGAAGCTTTCTTCAGTGATTGTTCCTCCGCACCGAAGCAGGCGGTCGCGGAGTGTCTGGCATCGACTCATATAATGCATCGCCTTTTCTCCGGTCTTCATCTGTATTGTTGTCAGTTGCTGCATGAGTCTGCTTTGTGTCACGCTGTCGTTTGCTTGATAGAAACACTTGAGGTGATGCCATGCGAGTTCCGCGGAGTTTCCATAGCTCCGATACGTTCTGATGCTTTGCTGCTCTTGTGGTGACAGGTTCCGCAGGAGGACTGTGTACGCCAGCAGCGACTGATACGTAAAAAAATTCTTGTTCTTTCGCAGTGCCATTGCTTGGAAATGGCAGGGACCCGTTGAAGTATCCCAAGAGATGCGCAGCCTCCATCAGCAGCTCGAACTCAAAGCTCCAGGTAAAGAAGTCGTGTCCGTTGAACGGTGAGGATGTCTGCAGTTTGATCACGTGTGAAAACTGCGCCTGGAGACTAAGTATCTCGTTTGGTGTTTGTTGTGATGCAGCTGCTGTTGGTTGGGCACGGGGCGGCATGAACTCGAACGTCCCCGGTGAAGAGTGATAAGGCGCAAAGGTAGGCGCTTGATTGTGTCGCCCGAACGATGAGTTGTCGAGGCTCATCGGCGCTAATCCCATGTTTCCTCTGTTGCTCTGTGTTGAATGCGCAGGTGTCCTTGTCTGCTGCTGCTGGTCGAAGTGCAACATGAAGCTGAAGAACCTTTCCATAAGGTTCGGGTCCACGCTTGAAGAGGGTGATGGGGTCACCATTTCCGGTGCTCTTCCTGTTGTTTCTTGAGCAGCGCCGGTCTCGGTTTGCAGTCCTGAAGTGTGCAATCCAGAGTTGCCGGGTTGAGTGTCTTGGGCGCTGGGTGAGCCCGTAGAGATTTTCTTGCCCTTGCTGTCCATGACTTATAATCAATGAAGTCGTTGGTGTGCAGATTGTAGATAGAGCGTAGTTGCTGGGAGTTTGGTCTCTGACCAGCTCTCATACCATGCTGGGAGTTTGGTCAGGCGACGGGGCCACCGGGCGGCTAGAAGACGGGGCTGTGTGGCGGCTAGGAGACGGGGCCGCGGGCGGCGAGGCGACGGGGCCGGCTAAGCGAGGGAGGGGGGGGGGGGCAAGGCGACGGGGCCGGCTGGGCGACGGGGCCGGCTAGGCGACGGGACCGGCTTGGCGACGAGGTTGACTAGGCGACGGGGCCGGCTGGGCGACTGGGCCAACTAGGCGCTAGGTGACGAGGGCCACGAGGGGACGGGCCAGCACGGGCGGGAGGACGACGGGGCGGCTAGGACCTATGGCGGAAGCGCTTGTGGGCGGGGGGGACCTAACCTACTCTGATACCATATCAAAGTTAACGAATGACTAGAACCATGGCATACAAGGGAATATAACCTAGTGGGTTGTACTCTCTAAGGCACAACCCTATGTAGTCTACAACAACATACAAGGATATGTTTGACACTTGCCACCTCAGCGGCCGCATTACCACAAAATCAAGCTCGAACCCGGCGCGCAGCCTACTATTCGGACCCAATGGCGGCTGACTCAACCTGAGTTAGATGAACTTCGACGCCAACTGGACTACCTGCTCGAGAAAGGTTTCGTCCGCCCCAGCACATCACAATTTGTAGCTCCGATCCTGTTCACACCGAAGAAAGATGGAGGTTTGCGTATGTGTATCGACTACCGCGCCTTGAATCATAATACCATCAAGTCTCGCTACCCCATCCCACGTGCACACGACCTCATCGACCAACTTCGCGGGGCCAGATTTTTTTCGAAGATTGATCTGCGAGGCGGTTACTACCAACTTCGCGTGCACGAAGCTGGCTGCTACAAGACGGTGTTTCGGACCCGGTACGGGAGTTACGAGTACACGGTCATGCCATTTGGCTTAACAAACGCGGCTTTGACATTCCACTTGACCATGAACAATTTTTTTCGGCAACTGTTGGATAAATGCGTCATCGTGTACATCGACGACATCGTCTTCTACATCGTTTCCCAACCTCCCTCATGTGCCGAGCCGTTATTGCTCAGGCGAAGCGGTTTGTCTCGCCTGACTACATTGCACAGCTTGCCGCTGGCAGAAGTTATGGGGAAATGCTATAAATGCTGAATACTAAGATTTATCTATTTTCTTTGATGTGTAAATACCACACATGAAGTTCAAAACAAGTTGCGCTTCAGCTTTAAAGCGAGGTATGGAAAGCAGGAAGCGCGATGCAGCACTTTTGCTTGTCCCGCAACAAAAGACACTGACCTTCCTTGTCCCACTCTAGATCACTGACAATCATGCCATCACGCACTCTAAATGTAGACGCCGAACTGCTGCTCCCTCCATTCGTCCCTTCACTATTCCCCTTAGTGCTCTCACCCCCAACCCTCCACCCCTTGCTCACACCACCATCACCATCAGTCACTCCTTCCGAGTCCCCAATGAAAATCCCCTCACCCACATTAGTAGTAACACCACTTCCTGATGCTATAGCTGGCTTCCATGTAAACAAATGTGGTGTACCGGTGCAGAACGCAATGCAGGGAAGGGAGGGGTGCCAGGCTGCAGCTTTGATTGGCTGCAGCTGCGACAGCACTGCAGCCAGCTCAAACTTGCGAAGCGTCGACCAGATCCAAAGGACGGTAGGAATGTCATCGCACCGAGTGGCTAGATACTCCCCATTAGCACTCCACACTACGAGGCCTGGAGCGAAAGGGGGAAAGAGGGGAGAGGGGGGGGAGAGGAGAGAGGAGGAATGCTGGTGGGGGTCGGATCCAAAGGATGGTGGAGGGAGATGTCGTGTCGCTGAACGCCGACTGGGTAGGTTCCTGCTCCCTGAGTCCCTGCCGTTGAGCTTTCCACAGAATGAGTCCTGGAAAGACAGACGAGGGGGTCAGGTGGTGGGGTGGGGATATCACCGCACGCCGAGCGGCAAGGTACTCCCCTGTTAAGTACCTCACATGAAGAATCCGAGTGGCTAACTACTGCCCATTAGCACTCAACAGCATCAGGCCTGGAGGGAGGAGAACGGGGGGTGAGAGGGAAGTGCGAAGTGGTGCTGGGGGAGGGTTGCCAGTGGAATATGAGGATAGGGTACTGTCGCAAGGGCACGAGTACTTGGATGAGCAATACTGGCGGTGATAAATTCAAATAGAAATAAAAATCGGGCTCAATATCTAATCTATACGCGGCAAGCTCTTACCGACTCCTTGCTTGGGGTTTGGCTTGTCCACTGGAGGTTTTTGGACGGGCAGCTGAACGGGCAGCTCAAGCACTCGGTAGGAGACCATGGGGACCTCCTCCTCCTCCTCTTGAGTGTCTGCAGGAGTTGAAACACGTGGCGTGAATTTTACTAAAAATGCTTAGAGAGGAACGAGCCGACAAGCCCTCAAGTCGAAGGGTAACTCATATGCATAATAGCAGCCTTTCGCTTTGCAATCTTTGAAAGACCACAAGGGCTAACACCACAGCACTGCATACCTGGTGTTATAGCAGAGGCTGCAGCAGAGACACCAACACACTCCTGCAGGCCAGAGCAGACAGAGAAGTTGCGGAGGCAGGGGAGAAAAGGCAAGAGGATGACAGGGGCATGGAAACCAAGGGAGCAGGACTAAAGAAACGCAGTGATGGAAGGACCGGATGGGGCGGAAAATGTGCCACTGTGCTGTAACAGGTGTATTTAAGTGAGGCCTGCTGCGTGCAACGTGGCAACAAGAGTTTTGAGGTGGTTTTGAGTCGACTCCCAATCAAGTGTGCCGCAGTGATGTAACAGGTGTATTGAAATGAGGCCTCCTGCGTGCAATGCGGCAACAAGAGTTTTGAGGTGGTCCCTACTGCAGAGTGACAGCATGTGGCTTTGAAGAGCAGCAAGCAAGCTTGTGAGTCGACTCAAGAGAGCCTTCTGCATCGCAATAGCAGCTTTCTAGGTGACTTTTGAGTCGACTCAAAAGTCGACTCACGAGAGCCTTCTGCATCGCAATAGCAGCTTTCTAGGTGACTTTTGAGTCGACTCAAAGGTCGACTCAAGAGAGCCTTCTGCATCGCAATAGCAGCTTTCTAGGTGACTTTTGAGTCGACTCAAAAGTCGACTCAAGAGAGCCTTCTGCATCGCAATAGCAGCTTTCTAGGTGACTTTTGAGTCGACTCAAAAGTCGACTCAAGAGAGCCTTCTGCATCGCAATAGCAGCTTTCTAGGTGAATTTTGAGTCGACTCAAAGGTCGACTCAAGAGAGCCTTCTGCATCGCAATAGCAGCTTTCTAGGTGACTTTTGAGTCGACTCAAAAGTCGACTCAAGAGAGCCTTCTGCATCGCAATAGCAGCTTTCTTCAAATGGCAAAGCAGCACGCATGCATGCATGCACGCACACACACACACACACCTCGTACACAACTGCTGCAGCAGCCAATGGGTTTCTGACAGCTGGCACGTGCGGCAGCTCCACTACAGGCCGGCCGTCCGCCGTCCGGAAGACTCGCAGCAGGCGGTCGGCGGAGCAGCCCACCGCCACCAGGGCACCTGAAGAAACACCTGAAGAAGCACCTGAACCTGAACCGCTGCTGCTGCTACTTTCGGTTGAAAGTGAGCTAGAACCAGAAGGGACACCAGGTGCGGAAGCAGGGGAGGGGGCAACGGCCCTGACTCCCAGCCCCGGCCAGGGCAGCTCTATGCGTGCTTGGGGCTCTCCAGAGGGAGAGAAGAGCAGCAGCTGAGGGGGGTTGGAGGGGGGTGAGCAGGGGGGGTGTGGGGGTGGGGAAGGGGGCGAGAGGAGTGAGGGGGCAGCTCTATGCGTGCTTGGGGCTAACCAGACAGAGATACGGGTAGCGCCTGAGGTGGGAGAGGAGAGGGAAACGGGGAAGTTGGAGGGGGGGTAAGGAGCGTAGGAGTGCTTACATAACATGGAGCAGCGTCTCATGCTCTGTAAAGATCAATGGGTTGGGATGAAGTTTGCTCTGCAGATCAACGGTTTAGGAGCGCACTCGAATGCAGATCAACTCTGCTTTTGATTCGATTCAAATGCAGATCGACGGTTTAGGATTGACTTTCCGGTGCACGATTGCTCACGTACCCTGAATTCCACAGGGTGATCCCACACAATAACCCCGCCGTCCTCTGCCGCCCATGCCACGTCAGCAGCATCCACAGTATCCGTGCGGAAGCAGACCACCTCCTGCCATGTGTCGCAAGCGTACAGGCTCACCACATCACGACTCTGCCCTGCTGCTCCTCCCCCTCCTCCCCCTCCTCTCCCTCCCCCCCCTCCCCCTTCTCCTGCCCCTCCTGCTGCTGCTGATGCTCTCCTTACTCCCACCCTTCCTTCTAACCCTGCTCCTTGCATACTTCCCCCAACAGCAGAGCCATCGCGCGATCTTCTAACAACAGCACTCCCAGCAGCAATACCAGCAGCACTACCAACAGCAGCAGTCCCAACACTACCACCAGCAGCAGCCCTGTGGCTTCCCGTGTCAGTAGCCCTCCTGCCAGGAGCACCAGCTGCGCCAGATGCTGTAACCGGGTTACCAGCATCTCCAGTTGTGTTACCGACAGTGCCCCGACGAGCAGCAGTGGCACCAGCAGGGGTAGCAGCCGCAGCAGCAGCAGTAGCAGCAAGAGGGATAGGGGCAGCAGCAGGTGGCATGGTTTCATTGGAAGGGAGGGAGTGGAGGGCTGCTAGGAGGAGGTGGTTGGGGGAGAAGGAGAGGGCGCGTATGGGGTGCTTGGGAAGGGGGATGTGCACTGGGGGGGATTGGCTGGCGATGGAGAGGAGGGGGGGGGGATTGAAAAGAGAAAACAGAGGGGATGGGTTAGGCTCTGGAACAAAGGCGGTGGCTGGGGAGAAGGGAGAGGGCGCGTATTGGGTGCTTGGGGAGGGGGGTGTGCACTGGGGGGCGCTCCACACAGGCACCAGGAGGTATAGTCACCAGGAGGTATACTCACCAGGAGGTATCCTCACCAGGAGGTATACTCACCAGGAGGTATCCTCACCAGGAGGTATACTCACCAGGAGGTATACTCACCAGGAGGTATACTCACCAGGAGGTATACTCACCAGGAGGTATACTCACCAGAAGGTATACTCACCAGGAGGTATACTCACCAGGAGGTATACTCACCAGAAGGTATACTCACCAGGAGGTATAATCACCGGAGATATAATCACGGTGACGTTCCCTGTAGTCACGCGCAGACGGTGATCCGAGGAGAGCAGCACGTGAGTGGAGTCAGGGGCCCAACTAGATGTCCCAGACCTCCATACAATCACCAAGCAATCACAGTCTATATAATCACCTAAATACAGCAGTCGTTACAATCACCTGGAGGTGACGTTCCATATAGTCACGCGCAGCCTGTGGTCCGAGGAAAGCAGCACGTGCGAGGAGTCAGGGGCCCACGTGGCGTGCACCAGCCCGCCCACGTCATCCTCGTGCACGGTAGAAGACCAGTCGGGGTGAGCCACGGACCACACCTGGAGAGAAGGGGTTCCACACACGATGTGAAGGGGGGTGAGGTTCAGGGGGTGGGGAGTCAGAGGCCCACGTGGCGTGCACCAAGCCGCCCACCTCGTCCTCGTGGACTGTTGCAGACCAGTCAGGGTGAGCCACGGACCACACCTGTAGAGAGACGCAGGGAGAAAGAGAGAGCAGGAGGTGCGTGGATCCAGGGGCCCACTGGGCGTGCACCAGCCCCCCCGTTTCGTCCTCGTGCACTGTTGCAGACCAGTCGGGGTGAGCCACGGACCACACCCGCGGGAAAGGGTTTCGCGCACATTACAAGGAGCTGAGGGCTCAGGCAGTGGAGTCAGGGGCCCATTGGGCATGCACCAGGCCTCCCGTGTCGTCCTCGTGCACTGTAGAAGACCAGTCAGGGTGAGCCAAGGACCACACCTGGGGGAGAAGCAGGGAGAGAGAGAGAGAGAGAGCAGTGGGCGTGGTGGGGCAGACAGCATTGGACCTTCACACAATCTTCCTGTCATCGTTCTTAGGGCCATGTGGGGTGCACCAGGCTTCCCACCCCACCTTGTCCGCATGCACCGTGGCGGATCATTCAAGGTGAGCCATGGAGCACACGCAAGTGAGGATTTCCTCTTCCTCTCCCAACATCACCTGGGATGGAAATGTGGGGAGAGGAAGAGGAAATCCTCACTTGGGCGTGACAGAAGCGGACTAACACGGAGACGGGTTTCCCGGTTCCTTGTTTGAGCAACGCAGCTTCATGCTCATGCCTTTTCTTGGATAAGGAAGTCAGGCGGAGGAGTCTTCATCCTTATTCGTGTAACTCATGCTGACTTGCTTATTCTTGTTTGAGCAACAGACTCTCATCCTTTGGTGAATCACGCATGGGCCATACCTGGATGTGAACAGCGCATATGGGCCATACCTGGATGAAGAAAGGGTGGAAGCAAGGAAAAGAGAGTGCACGCCTTGCACCATGACGTTTGAACCTCTCAAACACCAATTGCTACAGCCTATATTCAGCCGCTGCACATCGTAGCAGTTACAAAGTGCTCTTCCGGTACTTTATGGTCAATTAACGCTTCCTTACATGCACTGTAGCTTGCGAGTAGCAAGCTGCGAAAACCATTGTGGAATCTGGAGCCCATTCGACGGCTGAGATCGCCCCTGTACAGCTGCACGTTCGGATGTCCTGTAATTGTAACGCGTGGGCGACCATAGGGGACAGAGTCCGAGAATGGACAAAACGTGGGGGAATGCGGGAGAGAAAAACTGAGGGAAACGGAACGGAACGGGGACGGTAGGATTTGATTCGTTATTCGTTATTCGTTATTGGCAAGCGAGGCACAGGCCATCGAGGTGAGCACATTGTGATTGTAGATTCAGAAGAGAACAGTACTTGATTCTAGAGAAGGCACGGGCAGATGCAGCTTCATCCCCTGCTACGGCGTCACATCGCTTATTGATGCGAATGCATGATGGTCACAGGAAAAGGGATGGTATTTACCTCTAAGGACGGTACGGAGCGCAGGTGCAGCTTCCTCCCCTGTGCTACTGCGAGGCACCGGCCGTCAGGAGAAAGGCTGCAGGCACCGGAATGAGGTAACACTTCCGCGACGTCCATATCAGAAAGAAGGTCGTTGACTTTTTGCAAGAAACGTAAGTACACGACCGGATCAGGTTACCCAGGTGATTTTAGGAAGAGGTGGAAACGTTGTCAGCTCGAAAGGAACCGTCCAGGAAGATTCATTGTCACTAAAATCTCACTGACGCGATCAGCTCAACTGCAGAGTGATGGTAGATGAGGCGTGCGATTCGGTAGGAAGAGATGTGAAAAAAGGAAACGGAGAACGTAAGGAATGAGAAGGTCTGGGAGGAACGGAAGATAGTAATAGCAGCAGGTGAACGCTAAGAGAACACGTCGTAATGAAGGTGGCGGTGCAATCAGTAACTCCTCTTGGGAACTCCTAACTGGAAAACTCCCCTTTTCTTGCAGTGTCAGGTTCCTGACGAAGAATCTTGTCTTGAATCAGACTCGGAGGGCGTGTTGCGAAAAAGGTCGTTTTCTTCGTGTTATGTTCTAATTACCAGCGAAATCGTCAGAATCGTAGAGAACGTCGCGAAGAAAATACCAGCCAATGTAAGTGCAAAGAGAATTCACACACAGCTTCGACGAGCTTTTGCGACACTCGCAAAACTTAACGGAGATTACGCTTAACCCAACCGGGGTCTGATTCCGAAGACACTTGGCGAAAACCGTTAACGACCAGCCGGGACTCAGGCCCTGCTCAGGGAAAGGTAACCCTTGGGGATGGCTCTCGGAACGCGGACAAGGTAGCCCTGGGAATTCAAAGGACCCAGGAAAAGCGCGGGAAGAAGAAGTCTGAAGCGAAGGGAGACAATTATCGCTTTTTGAGAGTCGCGTTAGTGGTGCAAGTACCCAGAGTGACTAAACCCGTTAGAACATTCTACTTGCAGATATGGATGAAAGTAGACGGTATGGCCTTTTCTCGACGCACAAACAGACAAATCTGCATGCAGGATGCTGAAATATTTCTCTGGCATTGCAATCGCATTCTACATGGATTTTTTTTCCATCTTGACTCTTCATTTCTCCTAACTAGTGAAATCTTGAAATGTTTCTGTGCCCACTGGGTCATTGGCTTACACATAATGTTTCATAAGCTCGAATGCCATAAAAAAGCCTAGCCTATGACGAGGCGGCTTAGCACAAGAAACAGAACTACTCCCGACAAAGGCCGTTCCTTCTCACGACTAATTTGATCTCCTCCCTCCCGATATAGTTTCTCACTTTCCGCAACGCGGCCGAGTCTAACCGGTGTAGCTCACGGCGTAGGAGCTCGAGCGAGTAGCTGCTCTTTATTTCCAGCATACTCTAGGGGCTTTCTCATGCACTCTTGTTCCAATTAGGGTCTTTCGGGTCAGCTACAGGTCGATTCGTCTTGCCGTGTTCTGTTGTGAGTACGAACGGGCCTTCGGTTTCGTCCCACCTCGTTACTGTCGCACTCGTGGCTCCTAGAAGTGGGTCTGACCCGGAGGATGCGTGATCATCAAGCCACCACTTACCCGCAATGAGCAGCGTTGAGCCTTTCCGTAGGTGTGTGCGCTCCTGTCGCCTGTTCTAAAGCGTATTACTACGCGGATGCGTGATCGGAACATCATTTACCTGCCATGAGCAGCGTCGAGCCTTTCCGTAGGTACGTGTGTTCGTGTCATCTGTAGTGCTCTCGCTATTGTCACACGCAGTACCCCTCGCTATTGTCTCATTCCATCTGCTCCTCCTGCGTCGGTCTCGTAGCAGCCGCTTCACTTCCTTGTCTCCTCTCACCTCCCCCCCTTCCCCCCTTTCCCCTTTGCTGTTATCCCCATGCTGACGCCCTTATGCTTGTCCCTGCTCTTTCTCTCAATTTCATTTGCTCCTTCTTCGTCGATCTCGTAGCAGCAGCAGCTTCCCTTCTCATCTCATTCCATTTGCCTTCTTTGTCTCCTCTCGCCGTTCCCTCTCCTCGTTCCCCTTCGTTGCAAAGGTTATCCCCATGCTGACGCACTTATGCTTCTTCCTGCTCCTTCTCTCAATTTCTGTCTGCTCCTCTCTTACTTTCTCTCAATTTCCGTCTGCTCCTCTCTTACCTTCTCTCAATTTCCGTCTGCTCCTATCTTACCTTCTCTCAATTCCGTCTGCTCCTCTCTTACTTTCTCTCGATTTCCCTCTGCTCCTCTCTTACTTTCCGCCCGGGACTTTTGTTTTCTACTCTCTGCTGCCCACTGGTGAAACCACGCCGTTTTCTCCCTCCTTGATCCCTTCCCTGATCGCTCTGGTTTCCTTTCCTTTCCTTAACGCAATTTCCTTCCCTTACAAGGATTTGATTTCCTTTCCTTAATGCAATTTCCCTTCCTTAAACGTAATTTCCCTTCGCACGACTCCTGCAGGCTGGTGAAATTGGTGGCCCGTGCATTCTACGATGACGATCCAACGGACGATAAAGATAAAGAGAAGGAGAAGGAGAAGGAGAAAGAGAAAGAGAAGGACAAGGGGAGCAACAAAAAGGCAGAGCGGATATGCGGAGGGGAGACCAAGGGACTCACTATAGTCGTCCTCGACGCCCTTACAAGGTATAAAATAACTCCCTATAGTCGTCCTCGCGCTCTTACAAGGTGCAAGTTGACTTAGTATAGTCGTCCTCGATGCCCGTACAATGTAAAATATGGCAAGTGGGTGAGGGGGGAGGAGTTGGCTCGGCAGCTGCATCCAGGGGGCTGCTCAGTCGGGAGCATACCCTCACCTCTTTCCCTTCCCCACCATTTTAATACCCCCCACCAGGCATCAGTGGTTGAGGGGGGAGGACTTGGCTCGGCAGCTGCATCCAGGGGGCTGCTCAGTCGGGAGCTTACCCTCACCTCTTTCCCTTCCCCACCATTTTAATACCCCCCACCAGGCATCAGTGGTTGAGGGGGGAGGACTTGGCTCGGCAGCTGCATCTAGGGGGCTGCTCGGTCGGAAGCTCACCCTCACCCCTTTCCCTTCCCCACCATTTTAAACCCCCCCCACCAGGCATCAGTGGTTGAGGGGGGAGGGCTTGGCTCGGCAGCTGCATCTAGGGGGCTGCTCGGTCGGAAGCTCACCCTCACCCCTTTCCCTTCCCCACCATTTTAACCCCCCCCCACCCGGCGGCAGTAGATGCGCGAGGCGGACTTGGCTCAGCAGCTGCATCTCCCCCACACCTCCTCCCTCCCTCCCTCCCCCCCCTCCCCCTTCCCCCCTTCCCCCCTTCCCCCCTCTCCCCCTTTCTCTCTCTTCCCCCCAATCAGACAGCAGTGGATGCGGGAGGAGGATCTGTCTCGGCAGCTGCACCCCCCCACCTCCCCCCACCTCCCCCCACCTCCCCCCACCTCCCCCACTTTTTCCCTCTTCTCCTTTCTCTCTCGCCCCCACCCCCCCCCATCAGACGGCAGTGGATGCGTGAGGAGGAGCTAGCTCGGCAGCTGCACCTGCACCCAAAGCAACTGAGGCGAACATTGAAGATGCTTGAAGAGGAGATGATGCTCGTGAGGGAGCACCGGAAGGAGGTGAGGACGGACGGATGGAAGGTTGATGAGTGTTGTAAGGCAGACATAGATGATGCTTGAAAAAGGATGATGATGCTCGTGAGGGAGCACCGGAAGGAGTTGAGGGTGAAAGGACGAGAGGTTTGTGCGTTACAAAGTAGTGGTGGTAACCACCTGAAGCAGCAGCTGAGGCGGACGCTGAAGCTGTTGGAAGAGGAGATGTGAGGGAGCACCGGAAGGAGGTGAGTGGGTGTTGTTGTTGTGGGTGCATATGAGTCACGGTGTTGTGATAACCACTAGAGCTAACTTAAGTTGAAGATGGTTGAAGAGAATATGATGATCTTGAGGGAGCAGTGAGGGTGGGATAGAGCGCGGGCGGTGGAGTATTTGTGTGTTACTGTGGAGTGGTAACCACGTGGAGCAGCTAAGGCGGACGCTGAAGATGCTGGAAGAGGAGATGACGATCGTGAGGGAGCACCGGAAGGAGGTGAGGGTGGGGTAGTGTGGTGGACAGAAGAAAGGAAGGAAGGAAGGAAGGAAGGAAGGAAGGAAGGAAGGAAGGAAGGAAGGAAGGAAGGAAGAAGGAAGGAAGGAAGGAAGGAAGGAAGGAAGGAAGGAAGGAAGGAAGGAAGGAAGGAAGGAAGGAAGGAAGGAAGGAAGGAAGGAAGGAAGGAAGAAGGAAGGAAGGAAGGAAGGAAGGAAGGAAGGAAGGAAGGAAGGAAGGAAGGAAGGAAGGAAGGAAGGAAGGAAGGAAGGGAAGGAAGGAAGGAAGGAAGGAAGGAAGGAAGGAAGGAAGGAAGGAAAGGAAGGAAGGAAGGAAGGAAGGAAGGAAGGAAGGAAGGAAGGAAGGAAGGAAGGAAGGAAGGAAGGAAGGAAGGAAGGAAGGAAGGAAGGAAGGAAGGAAGAAGGAAGGAAGGAAGGAAGGAAGGAAGGAAGGAAGGAAGGAAGGAAGGAAGGAAGGAAGGAAGGAAGGAAGGAAGGAAGGAAGGAAGGAAGGAAGGAAGGAAGGAAGGAAGGAAGGAAGGGAAGGAAGGAAGGAAGGAAGGAAGGAAGGAAGGAAGGAAGGAAGGAAGGAAGGAAGGAAGGAAGGAAGAAGGAAGGAAGGAAGGAAGGAAGGAAGGAAGGAAGGAAGGAAGGAAGGAAGGGAAGGAAGGAAGGAAGGAAGGAAGGAAGGAAGGAAGGAAAGGAAGGAAGGAAGGAAGGAAGGAAGGAAGGAAGGAAGGAAGGAAGGAAGGAAGGAAGGAAGGAAGGAAGGAAGGAGGAAGGAAGGAAGGAAGGAAGGAAGGAAGGAAGGAAGGAAGGAAGGAAGGAAGGAAGGAAGGAAGGAAGGAAGGAAGGAAGGAAGGAAGGAAGGAAGGAAGGAAGATGTGTCGTGGGACCGACAACGCGTGTGTTGCATGCAAGGTAGTGGTAACCACTTGAAGTAACATAGGCGGACTCTGAAGATGTTGGAAGTGGATATGATGATCGTGAGGGAGCACCGGAAGGAGGTGAGGGCAGAAGGGCGGAAGGAAGGAAGGTTGATGTGTGTGCTGTAGGACAGCCAACTCATGTGTTGAAGACGAAGTACTGGTTGCCTCTTGTATCGACTTAAAAGGTGACTTTTGAGTCGACTCAAAAGTCACCTCGTTGATGTGTGCTGTGGGGCAGACAACTCATGTGTTGCATACAAAGTACTGGTTGCCTCTTGTATTGACTCAAAAGGTGACTTTTGAGTCGACTCAAAAGTCACCTCGTTGATGTGTGCTGTGGGGCAGACAACTCATGTGTTGCATACAAAGTACTGGTTGCCTCTTGAAGCAGCTAAAGCGGACTCTGAAGCTACTGGCAGGGGATATGATGATCATGCACACATATGAGTTACATATGCACAGGAACGAGGTGAGAGGGTGTTGTTGTGGGTGCATACATATGAGTTGCGGTGTAGTGTTAACCACTTGAGCCAACTAAAGGCGGACGCTGGAGGTGCTGGAAGAGGAGACGATGATCTTGCGTGAGCACAGGAAGGAGGCGAGTGGAGCTTTTGAGTTATGCAGTGGTAACCAGTTGATGCTGGAAGAGGAGATGGTGATCTTGCGTGAGCACCGGAAGGAGGTGAGGGTGGGAGGATTGTGTAAAGGGTATATATGTATTACGAGTAGTGGTAACTGTTTGAAGCAACTGAGGCGGACTGTGAAGACGGAAGAGGTGACTTTTGAGTCGACTCAAAAGTCACCTCGCAACTGAGGCGGACTGTGAAGACGGAGGAGGAGATGACAATCGCGCGCGAGAAGCGGGAGGGAGAAGCGGGAGAGAGGTAATCGGTTCTCAACCTTGAAAACGCGGCTCCAGCTTGTGGAACCACGAATCCAACTTGTGGAATCGCGGTTCCACTAGTGGGGGTGCGGCGCTTCCAGGCCGACTTTGAAGGTTCCCACCTTGACTGTGGGAACGTGAGGAACTCGCCCAAATGAGCGCTTCCAGGCCGACTTTGACTGTGGGCGAGTTGAGCACCCATTTGGGCACCCCAAGTCTCTTGGGTGCCATTCTCCTCACCTGGACCCGCCCAAGTCGCCCAGCACGTCCCCATCCCTCTCATCTTCACAATCTAGGCCTACTCAGCCCAATGTCCTTGTCAGCTCTATACACTACTTTGTTGTTACACTCTCCAGGGCTCCTCTTGTAACCTATCTTTATCAGCTCCAACGTGTGCATCTTACAGCCATGCACATTGAGTCTACTTTTCTACAAATGGGATACTGTGATACGAATAGAATGGTAACGGGTTAGTCAATAGAGCAGTGGTGACCATTTGGATTGGAGCAGTAAGACAGGCACAGCAGATTCTGGAAGAAGAGATGTTACTAATGATCCAGTGATAGGTGTTACTAATGATCCAGTGATAGGTGTTACCTGATCTGTTCTTCTTTACCCCTTTACTCCCACCCAACAGCTCAGGTGTGCTCCGCTTCGTCATTCAAGTCGACTCAAAAGTCGCAGCATTCTGCATGTGTCCCTTTTCTAAATGCGCTGCCCGTGATTGCCTTTCCCCAATACTCCAATCGAGCTGTCGTTTGCAGAATGCTCGAGCAGCCAAGAGGCAGAAGCAGGAGGGAGAGGAGGGAGGGGAAGGGCAAGCCGAAGGCGAAGCGGAAGCAGAAGGGTCGAAATGGGAAGGGAAGCCGGGGCAAAAGGCGAAGCAGCACTCGCACTCCTACTGCTGCTTGCACTACCCCCAGGTGTGTAGCAGTTTTAGGTATACGTATTTGTATTTCACTCTACAGGTACCATAGGTATGCTACATGTAGAAGTTATTTAGCTGCTCTATGAAGGTAACTTAGCCGTGATATTCATTATTGGTAAGAGTGATTAGTGGGTGACATAGTACAGGCAGTTTGTCAAGTTTCCTGTGATTCAACTTCCCTTTCTGTGCAGTCCTACGACGTGGTGCGGTACCGCATAGTTTTGAGGCGCCTCAAAAGCAGTCCTACGACGTGGTGTGGTACCGCATAGTTTTGAGGCGCCTCAAAAGCAGTCCTACGACGCGGTGTGGTACCGCATCCACTGCGCCAAGTAGACATGGGCTTAAATCCGAGCCGGCTCGTCTCGGATCCGGCTCAAGCCGAGCCGAGCTGGTTTTTTTTTTTAGCCGAGCCTGCCCAGCTTGGCTCGGCTCGTGGAAGCCGAGCCGCCGGCTCGGCTCGGAGTTAGGCTTCACTGAAGCGGCTCGACGCGGCTCGGCTTCAGCACGGCTTGAAGCCGTGGGGTTCAAAATTCGACCCCCGCCAAAACTCGACTCTCATTTTGAGAGTCGCGTTTTTCAGTCCCCTATCTAGCCAGCGCCCCCAATCCCTTGCCTAAGCATAGTCTAAGCACCAAATAAAGGCATTCTAACTGCCCTCATGCCCTAATAGCAACCCCCTTACGAAATAGGGTGTGAGAGAGTAGGGTTTAGAGGCCACGGATTAGGGTTTGCAGGGGGCGCCGCGATTAGGCTTTAGGGCAGCCAATTTCACGTGCGGCTTGATGAGGAGCCCACAACGAACACCTAGAGGGGTAGTTCGACACAAAAGGGCCGCCAATTCCCGATATATAAAATTTGCGGAGCGCATTTAGGTTGCCAGCAGATCCAGGGTTTAGGGTTTAGGCGATCGGCGCCGCTTAGAAGAACCGTGTGGAGGGTTTAGGGTTAGAGAGGGGCGATGGCAAGGGACTATCTCGCCCTCCCTGCTACCTCAGCGGCGAGCGAGCGGGTTTTTAGTCAGAGCAGGAACCTTATCTCCAGGCAGGCAGCGCCACCGACTCAACGCGGAGAGCATCCGTGCATGTCTTTCAAGTCATGGACTCAGTCGCATGTGGGCGTTGAGCTGCTGCGACCTAGCTGGATCAGGGAAGGCGGCGAGCTGGGGGTTGAGGAGTCGTAGGCAGGTGGTTGGAGGGTGTGTTGTGGGCCGATGTGTGGGTGTGGCCCTGGGATGCGGGTGAGGTGTATGGGCATGCGCAAAAACTTTGCTGCATCGTGTTTTTCCTTCCCTGCTAGGGCTTTGGTTTTGCTATTGCATGCTGGTCTGATGAACCTAGCATCGAGCTTCAGGGCATTGGTCCTCTTTGCATGCTGAATTGTATAACAGCCCAAACGCTTGCTTAGTAGTTGAGTGTGGTGCATGTGAAAGCCCTGTGTAATAGGGGTTCACACACACACCTCCAGACTGTCAATCTAGAGGACATTGTGTCGCGTGGGGGCCAAGAACCCTACATGGGGGCGTGGGGGCCAAGAACCCTACGTGGGGGCGTGGGGGCCAAGAACCCTACGTGGGGGCGTGGGGGCCAAGAACATTGTGACGCGACGCCAAGAACACATGTGGTTTCCGCAGCATGTTTCTGCCAGCAACCCCCCACCCTGGCTTCAGCGCTTCAAAAACGAGCCGAGCCGAGGTGGCTCGTTTTCCGGCTCGGCTTCGGCTCGAAGCCGGCTTCACCGAGCCGAGCCGGGCTTCAGCTGAGGCGAGCCGAAGCCGGCTCGGCTCGGAGCGGAGTTGTGCCCATGTCTAGCGCCAAGAAAGCGATTGAAGTCAATCGGAATGCGTGAGGTTCAAGGTTTCTTGCTAGTGAAACTTGCGCCCTTCTGTGTCCTACCACCCTGGATCTACCCTCTAACGCTTCAGATCTACGACGTGGTGCGGTACCGCATCCACCGCGCCAAGAAAGCGATTAAAGACGAGCTGGATAGTCGCAAGGAGGTGATGCACCTGCTGTGCCCCAATGGCAACTGCAAGGCCAGGTGGGTGCCAGGGTGGGTGGGATTGGGTGTGTGTTTTATGTGTTTTTGTCTTTAGTCGACTCATAACAACTGCAAGGCCAGGTGGGTGCCAGGGTGGGTGGGGGTGGGTGGGCCTCTTGGAATATATAGCTAGGCGGGAAAGCAATCAAGGGCGGGCTGGACAGCCACAAGGAGGAAACGCACCTGCTGTGCCCCAACAGCAATTGCAACTGCGTGCGAGGTGGGTATTAGCGTGGGTGGGGGGTGTCAGGATGGGTGGGGGTGGGTGTCAGGGTGGGTGGGGGTGGGTGTCAGGGTGGGTGGGGGTGGGTGTCAGGGTGGGTGGGGGTGGGTGTCAGGGTGGGTGGGCCTCTTGGGCAGGAAAGCGATCAAGGGCGGGCCACAGTTTTTGAAGCGCCTCAAAAGCGATCAAGGGCGGGCCACAGTTTTTGAAGCGCCTCAAAAGCGATCAAGGGCGGGCCACAGTTTTTAAGGCGCCTCAAAAGAGATCAAGGGCGGGCCACTGTTTTTGAGGCGCCTCAAAAGCGATCAAGGGCGGGTCACAGTTTTTTAGGCGCCTCAAAAGAGATGAAGGAAAGGCCACTGTTTTTGAAGCGCCTCAAAAGCGATGAAGTCCACTGCTTTTGAGGCGCCTCAAAAGCGATGAAGGAAAGGCCACTGTTTTTGAGGCGCCTCAAAAGCGATCAAGGAAAGGCCACTGTTTTTGAGGCGCCTCAAAAACGACCAAGGGCGGGTCACAGTTTTTGAGGCGCCTCAAAAGCTATCAAGGGCGGGTCACAGTTTTTGAGGTGCCTCCAAAGCAATCAAGGGCGGGTCACACAAGTCTATTTGCCTTTGTTCCGCCGGTCTATCCCCCCTCTGACGGATCTGATGAAACACAAGAAATGGATTAAATGACCCCCTCTGATGTGATGTGATGTGATGTGATGTGGTGTGATGTGATGTACGGATCTTGTGGCTACTCCCCACCAGGTACTCCACGTTACATACAGACCGATTGATCGACCCAGTGGACTTCATCCTCAAGTGCGAGTGGTGCCACTCAGAGCTAGAGGCAGAGCCACATGCTGGGAGGGGGAGGGGGAGGATGCCTAAGTCGTCCCTCACAAGTCTATTCGCCTTTGTTCCTGTCGACCCCCTCGCCAGGTACTCCACACTGGACACGGACCGGTTGATAGATCCGGTAGACTTTAATCTCAAGTGCGAGAGGTGCCACTCGGAGCTGGAGGCAGAGAGCGACATGCTGGGAGGGGGAGGGGGAGGGGGAGGGGGGGAGGGGGAGGATAACACGCGGAAGAAGAAGAAGGAGGCGCTTCAAAACATGCTGAGCAGGTTCGAGGTGAGTGTGGTGTTTGTTATTGTAGTGGGTGTGATTGTGGGCGTATGGGCAAACAGTTAAGATCAAAAGACCTAACTATTTGTTCATTTCCTTTTTTCACCTCACTTTACCCCGCGCCAACTGAAGCCACTGATTGAGCAGATAGTGAAGATCAAGGGCCTCGCTCCACCCTACTTCGGCTCTGTATCCGAGTGAAAGTCCAAGGCGTCAGCCACACAACCTCTCTCGTTCTTCACTCCTTCACTTACTTCCCAACTCCCCTCCCACAGCGCGAGCTAAAGCCACTAATGGAGCAGATAGTGAAGATTAAAGACCTCACGCCACCCTACTTCGGGTCTCTATCGGAGTGGGAGTCCAAGGCGTCGCCAGCACAGAGAGCAGCCGCAGTGGGGGGCGATATTCCCAAGGCGCTCCCCCGCTTGGCGGGGCCAGGAGGGGGGGGTGCTACATCCACTCCGCTGCCTTTCCTTGGGGAGACGCGGGTGAGTGGGCTCAAGGGTAACTTACAGGTGGGATTGGTTTGTAATCTAAGGGGTTGGCAGCAGTGAGAGCAGCCGAGATGGGGGGCTAGGCGAACACCGAGGGATGGAGTGGGGCGAGTACCAAAGACCCTCCCCCACTTGGCAGGGCCAGGGGGAGGGGGTGCTTCTGGGTCAACTCCTCTTCCTTTCCTTGGGGAGGTGCCGTAGATGGATGCTAGGGTTACAGGAATATTTTGAGTCGACTCAAAATGTTAGGGTTACATTACAGGAGTATTTTGAGTCGACTCAAAATGTTAGGGTTACAGGAGTACTTTGAGTCGACTCAAAATGTTAGGGTTACAGGAGTATTTTGAGTCGACTCGAAATGTTAGCGTTACAGGAGTCGCAGGAGGAGGAGAGGGGGTGGGAGGGGTAGGTTGGTGACTCCATTTTGAGACATCTCAAGACGAAAATATCAACCCTTGAGTTGCAGGAGGAGGAGAGGGAGTGGGAGTGGGAGTGGGAGAGGAGAGGAGAGGGCGTTAAACAAAGCCAGCAGGAGGAGAGGAGAGGGCGTTAAACAATGTTGGTCACTTCCATGTGGCTGATTTGAGATGTCATGGCAGGTGCTCACTGCCGCTCAGCCCCTTCTCTCACCACTTACCCACACTTTATCCCACCCACCCATCCCCCCCATCCCATCCCCCCATCCCATCCCCCCATCCCATCCCCTCGTCTCAGGTGGAGGTCTCGATTGGTGGAGAGGACGCGGCTGCCGCGGCAGGAGGGGGGAAAGAGGGGAGATGAAACCCCATACTCCATGTTGTATTTCTCCTCTCCCTTCACCCACCCATCCCATCCCCTCGTCTCAGGTGGAGGTCTCGAATGGGGGGGAGGACGTGGCTGCTGCGGCAGGCAGGGCACCAGGGGGGAAAGAGGGGAGATGAAACCCTATAATCCATATCGTATTTCTCCTCCGCATTTCACCCACCCATCCATCCCCTCTTCTCAGGTGGAAGTGTCTATCGGTGGGGAGGACATGGCTGCTGCTGCAGGCAGGGCACCAGGGGGCACCATATCGTATTTCTCCTCTGCATTTCACCCACCCATCCATCCCCTCTTCTCAGGTGGAAGTGTCTATCGGTGGGGAGGACGTGGCTGCTGCTGCTGGAGGGGCGGGACGAGGAGGGGGAGGAGGGGAGGGGGCGTTGACCAAGCCAGCGGAAATGAAGGTCATTCCCAAATGGGCGATCCGAGAGGGCATGGTTCTCACAGCTGCTCAGAGAGGGGAGGCGGAACCGGAGGCAGGAGGGGGCGGGGAGGGCGGGGAGGGGGAAGGAGATGGGGGAGGGGAGGCCGGAGGGGCGTCTGGAGGGTTGACTGCAGAAGAGGAGGCAGAGCAGCAAAGACTGCAGGTGAGAAATTCTCGTTCCTGAAAATACTAATGATATGAAGAGGGAAATCAACAGGCGCGGCAGCAGCGAGTAACTGTAAGTGAGGGAATTGCTGATTTTTTTCTCTCTCTCTTTTTAACGAACGTGCTATCTTGTATTGCGCTCTTCTCCAAGGCACTGGTAAAGACGAGGCACAAGGCCAGCCTTTGAGTCAACCTCGAAAGTCACCTCAGGTTTCGAGGCACCGTTTGAGATGAGTCACTAGCAAGTCGAGTCGAGCAAGCATGTATCCTTCCTCCTGTGGCTTTGAAAGTGAATTTGTCATTTAAGGAGTATTGTGCCACAATCTTCCGTTCTTCTCCCTCCCGACTTTCTCTTATTCTTCGTTCCCTGAGCCTCCTCTCAGGAATACTACAAGGCATATTATGCTGCATTGCTGCAGCAGCAACAAGCACAAGCAGCAGCAGCAGCAGGGGGAGCCACTGCCACTACCGCTGCTACAGACGCTGCCACGGCTACAGCTGCTGCTGCAGCAGCTCCTACTGCCGAAGCAGCAGCAGCAGCGGAGGGAGAAGAGGAGGAGGAGGAGGAGGAGGTAGCATGGGAGGAAGGGGATTCGGCAGTATACCCCACTGCTCCCCCTCCTGCTTCTCTCCCTTTTGGCTCAGCTCAAGCCCTGCCCACTACACCTATAGCACAAGCTATTCAAGAGGAGGATGAGGAGGCGGATTATGAGTGGGAGGATGGGGATGGGGGGGGGATGGGAGTGGGGGTGAGTGGGGGGTTAGTGGGGGAAGGAGAGGGGGATGGTGGAGGGGTTGGAGGGGGAGTGGGTGCGGGTGGTGCGGGGGAAGGGGCTAGTGTTGCGGTTACCCCCGAGCAGATTGGGGTTGGTGATGGTGGCGAGGGGGAGGATGAGGATGATATCGAATGGGATGAGTAAAATAGTACGCTTCAGTATAGTACATTGCATTACGTGGTGGGCTTGGGTTGGGGTTGTTCCTTGAGAACAAGGTTTGGGTTGGATTGGCACGATATGACATGACTCTGTACATGACATCATATGAAAAGTAAAAGATCTGCTTATCACTCGGCCAAGGCAGATCAGAATTCCTATGAAGTAGGATCAGCATTACTCATGTTCCTGATCCTGGCGTTTTGCTACGTTCACATCAACAATCCTAGAAAACAATCGCAAGTAAGCTTCGCGTGCGAACCTGGATGCCTCGCACGATCCTACATGTACCGGTACACCCCTTTCAACACAAAAATATCACTGCTACTGCCCCGACTTGAACATGCAAGTTTACAGTCCAGTTGCAAAACCCTCACCACGCCGAACCAGACTGGGAAAAGCGCGCTCCAATCACGAGCAATAAATTTTCTAAGCCGGCAGTAGCACAAACAAATTCGTTTTTGTGCCCGCCGTGTGCCACATCTGATTTCGTTTCTTCGATTTTTCGTTTTGCTGCGAGTCGCTCCTCGCCGCGCTTTCGTCACGCAGCATTTGCTTGGCACGAGTTGGGGCCTGTCCCGAATGTGTTTGTAGGAGCAGCCAATCGGACGTCCCTGCGCGACGCTGGGGTGGCTGCCCTCGTTTCTAATCTTGGCGTATTAGACAAGGTTTAGGAGATCAATAATGAAATTCGCGTTTTTGATTCTGATCCTACTTTGTAAGAATACGCCCTTATCTATCAAAGTTAGAAGAAGTGACTAGTATGAGGCAAACATAGTGGATTTGTCTAAGGGGTTGTACCCTCTAAGAGAATGCACCTATCTAGCCTATAATACATATACATAATATGTTTGACACACCCCCTAGGCTAGAAGAGGGGCAGTGCCTGGAAAGAGACATACAGCTCAGGGTGGTACTACTAGTCCAACCTCTAAGGGAGGGGTTCGAAAACTAGTCAGCAAGCGTACAAACTAAACAAGAGCAAGCCACGGCGGCACTACTTGTCCAGCCACTGGGAGAAGAGCCACAAGGCCAGTCAAGACAAGATAAAAGTAGTACACAATCAAGGTCCTAGCAAGTGAGAAGCTACAAGAACTAGACCAAGCCGCACACAGTGCTGCTGATGATCTTTAGACGCAACCGCCTTCGTAAAGATATCAGTTCTGTTGGCACCTGAGGCCAAGTGTACTACACGGGCCAAGCGACGGTGCTGTAGCTCACGCGGGAAGAAGTACCGCAGCTGGATGTGCTTCGCTCTGCCCTCTAGTCGAGGCTCATAACACAGGAGGATCACGGCCCTGTTGTCAGCGTACAGGACCGGGGCAGAGCTAGGCCGCTCACCTAAGTCTGTGACCAACAATGTCAGCCCGCTGAGCTCCTGTGCCGCCATGGCACCAGCGTATATCTCAGCCTTACAGCTAGAGTGGGCAACAGACGATGAGCGGGTGCACCTCCACGAGATGGCGCCTGCACCAAGGCTAAAGCAGTAACCCAGGGAGGACCTGAGTGTCTCAACGTCGTCTGCCCATGAAGCGTCTGTGTGCCCTGTAAGGACCACTGGCCTCTGTCCTCCTACCACTGGCCTGTGTCCTCCTAGCACTAGCCCCATGCTCGATGTACTTGCTAGATAACGCAAAACCCTCTTAGCGGCCGACCAGTGCTGTGGTTGGTGCCTGCATGTGGCCATAAAGCGAGCCATGATGCTGAGAGGGTATGCGATATCTGGACGAGTGCAAGTCATCAGGTACATGAGGCAACCCATGAGCTCTGCGTAAGGACCACTAGGCTCTACAGACTCCTCAGGGACTGCATCCGAGAGCATGTGATCTACTGGCAGAGGTGTGGGTTGTGCAGAGGATAACTGGAGACCGAACCTCTGAAGGACCTGGCGCACCAAGTGTGACTGTGTGAGAGTGATGGTGCGCGCTGCTCTGTCTCTGGAGATCTGCAGGCCAAGGTAGCGGTGCAGCTCTCCTAGGTCAGTGCAGGTGTGTCTCCTCAGCAGCTCAGCCTTCACGGAGGCCATTGCGTCTCTGTCTACAATAGCAAAGATCAGGTCGTCTACGTAGACAAGGATGTAAAACAAGGTCTGGCCAGCACAAACGAAGAGCGAGGGGTTTGCAGAGGACGGGAAGAACTGCAGGTCAGCTAACTTAGCACAAAGCATGTCGTGCCACTCGGGCTGCGCCTTCCGCAGGTCGTAAACCGGGCGCTGGAGGAGCCACTGGGTCCCGGGGGTGAAGGTGTCGGTGAAGCCTGGCGGGCAACGCTGGTAGACCTGCTCAAGCAGACTGCCCTGAAGAAATGCTATAGATGAATCGAGAGAGTGCAGCTTTTACTCACGTTGTGCTGCTACATGTGACAACGCCCGAAGAGTAATCATCTTCGGGGTCGGAGCGAAGGTCTGAAAGAAGTCAACGCCCTCGCGCTGATTGAAGCCTCTAGCAATGTAGCGCGCCTTGAACACCGGCGACTCTCCAGGAGGGCGCTTCAACTTGAAGAGCCACCGGCCATCGACTACGTTCACCCTAGGTGGGGGAACTGCATCGACGTAGGTGCTGGTGGATCTCTACGATGCCATGTCAGCGTCCATGGCACCTATCCACTGAGAGGCCCAGGGTCCCGAGGTTGCCTCAGCGTAAGTGCGAGGGGTCGGAATGTCAAAGGCCTCAGGGTCCCCCTTAGGGACTAGCAGCATGGAGCAGAGATGAGGCGCGGCCTCGGACAAGAAAAGCAAGCTCGTACTGCCGGTCCTCCGGGACGTCATTGCCAAGGGCAGGAGCACCCCCGACGGACGGAGGACAGGCGGGGTCAGACTCCAGAGCAGTGGCATAGTCATGGCGGCGGGTAGAGGTGAAGTGAGCGACGGGAGCGACAAGCGCGTCAAGACTCGAGACAGGAACAGACGGGTCGGTAACGAGGGAGGCAAGGACCTGAGGAACAAGAGGAATAGCGGCATGAAGGAAGTCAGACAGAGGAGGGGAGTGACAACAGGCAACGACGGAGGAGGCGACGACAGAAGGGGAGGACGAGATGCGTGGGAACGAAGCAACATACTGTAGGGTGAGAGCATGGAACATGGGAGACAGGTCGAGCATGGAAGGGTCCGTGAGACCAGACGTGAGACAGAGGCATCGGGTCAGAAGAAAGAGGAGGAGACACAGCAGGGGAACGAGGGGGAAAGCGAGCCGGAGACAAGTCCGGCAGAGGAAAAACAGGGCCATAGACAGGCAGGGGAGGCGGCGGCGGGAGAGGCGTAGGTGGGCGGTCAAGGGAGGGAAGACCGAGGAGGCAAAGGGCGGACACTGGCTGCGACTGCTGCTGCTACGCCGCACCGACACCAGAACCTCCAGCTGCACCACGGCTACCTCCAGAACGCTCCACTCCAGCACCCCCAGAATGAGAACCCTCCCCAGTACTAGTGCCACCCCCAGGACTATCAAGACGAGCCACGACAGGAACCCCAGAACTAGCACCCCCAGAACAAGAACCCTCTCCACTACCGGTGCCACCCCTGCGACTGCCGGGACAAGCCACGACAGTAACCCCACGACTAGCACCCTCCTCAATGCCAGCACCCCCTGAACGCACAGACCCCTGCTGCGGCTGCTGCTGCGGTGGCAAGGGCGGCAACTGATGCGGCTGCAGCGGCGAAGGAGGAGACAACGGGGCGGAGATAGGCGGCAAAACCGAAGCCGCAGGGCCCCCGGAGTCAGCCGACTCCTCCGCCGGGACCACCGACAGAAGGGGAGTGACGTGAGAAACACCAGACGGGGGGAGGACAGGGAGGGAGAGGAGCAGGGGCTACCAAGGGAGTAGGAACCAGAAACAGGGGCAGGGAAGTTGGGAGACCTCGGTGGGGAAAGCGATGGTACAAGGAGACAGACTCGTCAAAAGTGACGTCACGCGAGTGAAAGAAGCGGTGAGAAGGCGGGTGGTAAAAGTGCCAGTCAGACGCGTCAATAGGGAAACCAAGGAAGACACAGGGGACAATGCAGGTCGTGAGCTTGTCCATGTCATAGGCGAGAACGTGAGCGAAGCAGCCCCGACATGGAACGTAGATGCAGCACCAGGGAACCCGGCCCAAAAGAGGGTCGGCGAAACCTGCGGCCGCTAGGAGTGCCGCCACAGGTTAAGCTGGTGAGCAACGTAGCGAGCAACGAACTGCCGCAGAAAATGGGGTGCACCGGTATGGATCATGGAGGTACGAGCCACCTCCATGACCAAACGATGCGCCACTCAACGACCCCATGGTGCTGCGGGGAGTCTGGCAGGGTGTACGAATGGGTGATGCCCTCCGTACGACATAACTGGCTAAGCCGACCGCAGGCAAACTCGTCGCCATGGTCGGAGTGGAGACGTAGCACAGGGTGGCCGTGGTGGACTCACGCACCTACGACCCATGAGATAAGAATGTCAGGCACGTCAGCCTTCCGCTCCCACAAAAATACTGTAGTGTAGCGCGTGTAGTCGTCTACAAGCACTAGAAAGTAGCACTCTCGATGCAGACCAGGGACGTGGGCTGGGCCCCAAACGTCCAGGTGCAGGGTCTAGAGTGGCGCAGTGGTAGGGGGAAGTGAGGAGGAGTGAGGGACATGGCGAAGTTGGCCCTCGACGCAAGGCTTGCACGGCGGCGCAGGCGAGGGAGGAAGGGCAGCAAGTGACGCAGTGAGACAGAAGACTAGACCGTAATGGGACATGTGACGTAGACGCGGGAGTGTGGAGTGACCTAGGCGGTGATGCCATAGAAGCGACGGGTGAGTGAGCGACCGACACGAGCAAGCCGCAGCAACCTGGGTTGCCGCAGGCACCTGGGGGGACGCCCCTACCGGTGGGGATGCAGTGTCAAGCATAAACAGGCCAGACACAGGGTCCCCGGAGAACGTGGTTAAAGGGGCACCAGTGGCAGCCTCGGTACAGATTGCGTACCGCTCGTGTCCAGGGAAAGTAGTGGTGACGCCGAGGTTCTGAAGACAGCCGACACCAACTAGGTTTCGGGAGAACGAGGGGATGTGCAGGCTTGTAAGACAACCCGAGGGGACCACCGAAACAGGGAAGGGTAGTGGAACTACGAACAACTACCGGACTTGAGGAGGGGTCAGCAAGCGCTACAGCGGCGGGGGCAGCAAGCAGCGTGAGCGCAGTGTGGTCGCGAAAGAAGCAGGCGGACGCGCCAGAGTCGAGCGTAAAAGAGAGCGAGGCAGTAGCGCCAGCTGACGAAGGGGCTAGCGTGGAGCCTAGGCTAGACAAGGCAGGGGATCCTATGCCTGACGCAGCATTGGAGCCTAGACTACACACAGAGGACACACCTACTCTAGGCAACACGGGGTAATAGGGTCCAATCACACTAGAGTCATCAGTATACATGACACACATAGCAGTCCTAGTTTGATCCATGTCAAGCTCAAAGACGAGCAGACGGCGGCGATCCAGGGCATACCACTCTGGAGGATCCGACGTGGGACCGAAGCGGTGACGCAAATGGTCGTCCAGGCGGCAATAGCATCGGGCGGCGTTGTGGCCGGGACAGTCGCAAACGGTACTGATAGATGATCGCAATGGAGCCGCCACCCGACACCGAGCTGCACCCCCCACCGCCACGACTACCGCCACCAGCGCCGCAAGTCCACCACGGCGGTTGGGGTTCCCGCGACGATTGCTGCTGCGGCTGCTGCTACTACTGCCGAGGCTGCGACTTCTGCTGCTGCTGCTCCAGGGCACCAGCCTCGGTCCCCTCATCTGAACCATAGTCCCTTCCTCCACCACCTTCTCTCAGCCACGGCCCCCCTTGTGGCGGCGGCGGTCTCAGCCACAGCGGCAGAGACATCAGAGTAAGTGCACTAGGAGGGAGCACAACCCTGAAAGATGGGGACCGCCGCAGTACCGCTAGACTGAGTGATAGTGCGCTGGTGGGTCTCTATCGCGGACAGGGCGGTGACAAAGGTGGGAAGGCTGAGGTCACCCGGGTGCTGACCAAGGAAGTGGTCGCGGGCAATGGTTAGGCGGTGCGGGAGGCGTATGGCAATAAGGTAAAGGGTAGCGCAAAGCGGCGGCGGAAAGGCAGTGAGCTGAGCCTCAGTGCTAGCGGCGCGGTAGCTAGTCTCAAGTGCGCGGAGGTGAGTGGCAAGATCAGCGACTGTGGGGAAGGACGCAAGATCATGGAATAGCATGGGAGGATCAGGCGGCCAGCAGAGGCTGAGGCGGGGGTGGAATAGGGGGCGATGACTGCCTCTAAGAATTCCTTAGTGTTCCCTTCAGTGGTAAAGCGGGGACGCTCATGCATGGGTAGCGCATGGCTAATAGTAAGCTGCGTAACGACGTCGCGCGACTCCCAGACAGCGCGAGCAAGCGCAGCAGCGGAAAAGGCCTCACGCTCTGTAGTTGTGGGAGCGTCAGGGAGGGTAACATGCATAGCGGGGCGGGGAAGTAGGCCATCGACATGAACAGCGAGGGAGTGACCGTCCTAGCATTGACCTATAAGGTGACGGCGAAGATCGACGAGCCACGCCTCGAAGTCGATCACCCGACCCTCCGCGTCCAGGCAGAGCAATGAGTCCGCCATCATCACGGCTGCAGCAGGTGATTGCCGCTGACAAGGGGAGGAGGAAAGGCAGAAGAAGGCGGCAGAGAGCGATGGAGTGCGGTGGAGTGCGGTGGAAAGCGGTGGAGTGCGGTGGAGAGTGGTAGAGTGCGGTGGAGTGCGGTGGAGACTGCCAGCAGGGGTGCCTGCTCAAAAGGGAGCTAAGGCCGGGAGGTCGGGGGCAGCAGAGCAGCGCGGCGGCGCAGCGACACGGCGGCACTGCGGCTCGGCGGCTGGACGACGAAGGGTCGGCGTGGGCTGTGGCCGGCGGAGCAGGTGCCGGTGGAGCTGGGGACCGGCGAGCTAGGGCCTAGCGTGTGCGGGGCCAGCACATGCGGGGCCAGCGGGCGCAAGGCTGGCGAGCGTGGGGCTGGCAAGCGCGGGGGCCAGCAAGTGCGGGGGCCGGCGAGCACTAGGCTAGCCAGAACGGGGCCAGCGGGCGCGGGGCTGGCGTAATTGGGGCCAGCGAGAGCGGGGCAGGCGGACTTGGGGCCAGCGGGAAACGGGGCCGGCGGTGCGGGGCTAGCGGCATAGGGCTGGGGAAGATAGGGCCAGCAGGCGCGGGGCTGGCGAAAGCGGGGCAGGCGAGATCGGGGCCAGCGAAAACGGGGCCGACGGCCAGGGGCTGGCGAAAGCGGGGCCAGCAGCTCAGGGCGGGCGAGCGCAGGGCCAGCAGGCGCGGTGCCAGCTTACGCGGGGCTGGCTGGCGCGGGGCTGGCATGCGCGGGGCCGGCAGGCGCGGGGCCAGCCAGCTCTGGGCCAGCGGCGCTGAACCGACGATCGCGGGGCCAGCGGGCGGCTAGCTACAGGTGGCTCAAAACTGGCGGCTGGAAACGGGCAGCTAGCGACGGGCAGCTAGGTACAGGCGGCTAGGACTAGGCCTAAGGCGAAAGCGCGGGTGGGCGGGGGGGGGGCCTAACCTAGCGTGATACTATATCAAAGTTAGAAGAAGTGACTAGTATGAGGCAAACATGGTGGTTTTGTTTAAGGGGTTGTACCCTCTAAGAGTAAGCACCTATCTAGCCTATAATACATATACATAATATGTTTGACATTATCAACATGTCGTATAACAAATTGTCAGCAGTGTTGGGCGTTGTTTAGCAAAATCTGAAACACATAATCAACTTGGGGCACCTCTTACGGTACAGTAATCCTCCGGATATAGGCGCATCCTTTATTTGGCCCACTGGGCTGACGGGGTGCAAGTGCACCTATATTCGTTATTTGATTATAAGCGCACCCATATTTTTGAAAATGTATTTCTTATAGGAGCATCTTATTTTTGTAAAACAATCATGAAACGCGGATTTTTCATATCGAAGTTTAAGCCGTAACCCCCTAACGTCTGCCGAACCAGAAGCGCAATGGTCTCTCTCTACCTTGGCTCTGATTTGCTGGAAATTTCATCCATCGCAGGGTGGAGTTGCTGGCAGAAATTTCAACATTGCGCCCAGCGGAAACAAACGCGCTAGAACATAAATGTCGAGCTATATTTTTGTGTGCTCACGTTCATTTCCATAACATCCCTTAGTTCAGCCCTGGGCTTATAAATTCTATTCGATTACAAGCGCGTGCCACTTCTGCCAGGTATTTCCTATAAGCTCCTATGCACCTATATCTAGGGGATTACGGTAGCATGGGAAAACCATTACACCAGAAAAATCGTTGTTACCCGATGCGCAATTGCATCAATACATGATCTATAACTGAAGCAGATGCTGATTAGCAAGGCTTATGCTTATAAGAACGCTATTTTTAGTGGAATCGGTCTTAAAGCCCACTCTTTGTTATACCCAGCACAAGGGGCTGATAAGGCAGCTTATCCCTGTTATGCGGCTCAGAATAATCAATATTCCGGCCAATCGGGCAGATGGCGAAAGGATTGAGGGCGTTCGGGCTGCAGAAAAACTTCCTGCGGATGTGGACCATGTTCACAGTGCTGGCAATCCCGGGCAGCTGGAAAACTTCCTTGGTGTAGTTGAAAAGGTTGGGGTACTCCTGGATCATCCTCTTGTTACAGTTGAAGTGACCGTAGTACACCTGGAGAAGTGAAAAACATGTAAAAGTCAGCACCCAGGAAAGGAAAGACACCGCTTGGAGGATGAGGAAGAATCTTTGGAGAAGTGACTTTTAAGTCAACATCAAAAGCCACCTAGTTTTCACCCAAGAAAGCACAGAAGAAGCTTTGGAGAGCCAACTAACACTGGGAGAGAGAGGGTCAGATGGAGGGGAGATGTTTTTATATCAACTCAAAAGCTTTGGAGAGACAACAATAACTGGGCGAGAGAGAATCAGATGGCGCGTAGAGAGCACGATGTAGGGTATCTTGCTCAACCCTCGGTAGAAAACCATAAGCAAGAGACCCTGCATCTTGCTCACCCCTCATTAGTATAAGCAAACCATCCCTCGCGCCACCCACAAGCAAGCATACCTCATCGAATCGAATCAGATCCACAAACAGGCGGATGTCAGCCTCAGTGAAGGCGTCTCCTGCCATGTAGCGCTGCCGAGACAAGACGGCCTCACAGCGGTCCAAGGCTGAGAAGAGTGCTGCTACAGCCTGGAATGGGGTAAGAGGAGGAGAGGAGGAGAAGACACAGCCTCAGTGAAGGCGTCTCCTGCCATGTAGCGCTGCCGAGACAAGACGGCCTCACAGCGGTCCAAGGCTGAGAAGAGTGCTGCTACAGCCTGGAATGGGGTAAGAGGAGGAGAGGAGGAGAAGACACAGCCTCAGTGAAGGCGTCTCCTGCCATGTAGCGCTGCCGAGACAAGATGTCCTCACAGCGGTCCAAGGCTGAGAATAGAGTCGTTACAGCCTGGAGCACCAAGGGGGGTTGTAGGGGGTATCAGCTTCGGTGAAACAGCTAAATGTCAGCCTTTGTGAACGCGTCTGCTGCCATGCAGCGATGCCTTGACAGGGTGTTCTCACAGCGGTCCAAGGCTGCAAAGAGTGCTGCCACTGCCAGGAGTGGGGAACGAGAAGGTCAGAGATGAGGAGAGAAGGGAAGGAGCAGATATCAAAGGCATCTCCTGGGATGTAGCGCTGCCAAGACAAGGTCACGTTGTCTTGGCACGTTGTTACATCACCTCCATCTCTGGGATAGAGGTGGAGGTGACACTCTGGCACAGTAATAAATACATCATGCGGACTCCTCTCCACCTGAGGTGGAGGTGGACGTCCTCGGATGAGTCAATTTTCAGAATTCTCAACTATAGTAGAGGGCCGGGTGATTGCCTTGTTATGGAGCCACACGTGCCCCTATGCTCCTTGCAGCCCCCTCTCACCTCATCCCCCCTCTCACCTCATCCCCCCTCTCACCCCATCCCCCCTCTCACCTCATCCCCCCTCTCACCTCGTCCCCCCTCGCACCTCGCCATACACTGCTTCTCCCCTCCCTCGCTTCGCACCCTCCCTCACCTCGCACCCTATAGGGCTCGTGTGGGAGTGCTCACCTCATCATACGCTGCTTGCTCCTTGGCGAATCCGCACTTGAACACGCCGCTGTTGATCGCCGGTCCAACCCACGAGTTCACCCCATCAATGGCGTCCCTCAAAGCAGCAGGGTAGAGGTCCACGTGGGGGTTGCTGGCGACAGCATTGAATTCTGAGTTGAGCATTCTCATGATCTCGGCGCTATCATTGTTCAAGATCGTTTTGGCCTTCTTGTCAAAGAGGATCTGCGGAAGCGCGGGATGTAAGGATGCAAGGATATAAGGATGTAAGGGGATGGGATGGGAAAGGATGGGAAGGGAATGGAGGTCCACGTGGGGGTTGCTGGCCACGGCGTTGAACTCTGAGTTGAGCATTCGAATGATCCCCGTGCTCTCGGTGTTCACAATGGTTCCCACCCTCTTGTCAAAGAGGATCTGAGGAGGGGGAGGGGGAGAAGAGGGGAGTGGAGTTGTGCTAGACGGACCACTTGATGCAGGTATTTGAGAGGGGGGAGGCGCGCATGATAAAACACTATGGTGTCACACTATCGTGCCGGCAGAGAGGATTCACTTTCCCTCGTAAATTCCAGCTCAGTGTTGAGCCGTCTCAAAAGTTATCTACCAGAAAGAATTCACTTTTCTAGCCAATAATTTTGTGGTGTTACATACCGGCACGGAGGTGGTCTTATACGAGGGATCCACTTTCTAGTAGTTATCGCGGACGAATCGAGCGGCAAAGATGGGGTCTGGTTGCGCTCCTCCCATCCCACCCTACAATATAACCTGTACAATATAACTATTCTTAGACTACATGATATTGGTGAACATACCGGCACGGAGAAGGTCTTATATGAAGGATCCATTTTCTCATAGATATCACGGACGAACCGAGCGCCTAAGGTGGGGTCCAGCTGCGCTCCTCTCATCCCTCTATATGTACAATGTTAGTATTCTTGATGTACATACCGGCACGGAGAAGATCTTATATGAAAGATCTATTTTCTCGTACATGTCGCGGACGAATCGAGTGCCGGAGATGGGGTCCGGCTGGGCCACTTCACCCTCCTCCGTGCTCTTACTGTGTTACATACCGGCACGGAAAATGTCTTGTACGAAGGGTCTATCCTCTCGTAGATGTCGCGGACGAACCGAGCGCCGAAGATGGGGTCCGGCTGGGCCCCTTCCACCTCCTCCTCCCCTTCCGCAGCAGGGAACGCCCACCCGTAGTGCTCCTCGCCCTCCCGCGTGCGCACCCATGTGGGGTTCACCACCTGGCAACAACAGCATAAGGCATCGACAGAAGGATAGATAAGGGCCTGATTTCGCTCCTCTCCTCTTCTCTCCTCTTTTCTCCTCTTTTCTCCTCTTTTCTCCTCTTTTCTCCTCTTTTCTCCTCTTTTCTCCTCTTTTCTCCTCTTTTCTCCTCTTTTCTCCTCTTTTTTCACTCCTCCCTCTCCCCCTCCGCAGCGGGGAACGCCCACCCGTATTGCTCCTCGCCCTCCCACGTGCGCACCCACGTGGGGGTTCACCACCTGGCAGCATCACATAAGCGGCATGGGAAGGACAAATAGGGTCTGATTGCGCTCCTTGCTCCTCCCCCTCCTCCTCTTCCCCCCTCCCGCGTGCGCATCCACGTGGGGTTCACTACCTGGCAAATATCAGCCGGGTTAGATTGGGGGGGAAGCAGGGGATACCCTCAGGTTAACTTGCTCAATGCCGTGCTTGTATGGAGGAAGGCTGTACTCTGTATAAGACTTCAGCTTCTTTTCCCTTGAGGTGTAGTGTAGGAGCATTTACACTCTGCTGCTGGAGCAACATTCCGTTCTGTCGTTGACTTTCTTGCAGAGGTAGTGGTAAAAGTAGTGGTAGTGGTAGGGGCAGTGCAGTGGTAGAGGTGGTGGTAGTGGTAGTGGTAGTGGTAGTGGTAGTGGTAGTGGTAGTGGTCGTGGTAAGGGTGGAGGTAGTGCTTCCAAACTAGCTGGAAAGCCATTGACCTTGAACCCACTCAACGATCGCTGTAACGATAACTGAGCAGCCGATAACGTTATAGCAAAGCTGCTCATGAAGGGTACAAGGTTCTTACCGACTAGCTGACGGCGTCCTCAGGTCGCTTGACCTTGAGCGCCTGACTCACTGGAGTAGTGCTGCTTATAACGGGTACAGGGAATCGCTTACCGAGTAGCTGACGGCGTCCTCCAGCCCCTTGAGCTTGAGCGCCATGAGGCACCGCGACGCCCAGGGGCAGGCGTAGCTCACGTACAGGTGGTACCTGGGCGCGGTTGAAAGTTGGGGGTGGGGGGAGGGAGGGGGGGGGTGTTGGGAGTGTGGGAGTGGAGATTGAAGGGGAGGGGAATGGTTGACGAGAGGAGGAAGGGTAGATGTGCCCCGGGGTGAGACGAGGGGGGGTGGGGGGGGGGGAGGTTGGGGAGCCGCTTTGGGTTCACATGCCGAGGGGCTTTGCTTTCGGCTGTGGCTTTGGGCGACGTAGCTGACGTGGCGAGTGGTGCAGAGCGGGGGGGGAAGAGGCGCGGACGCAGCTATCTTTGAGGCGGCTCAAAAAGTGTGGCAGATATTGGGGAGGGGGAAGTGGCGCGGGCGTACGTGTTAGCAGATCTCGGGGAAAGAGGCGAAAGACCCACGTGACGCGTGGCGCAGAGTTGGCGGAGGGGGGAGAGAGGCGCGGGCGCAGCTCCCCTAATAGCGATGCCAGCGGTAGAAAAGCTTGGTATTCCGCCCAACCTCCCGCTTTCCGCTGGAAACCCGCTCGATCCGTCCGCGCGTCACGCGCTGGCGGAACGCTTGCGCCCCCCTTAAAGTCCCCCAGCAGTCTCCCTCAGCGACCCGCTAGTAATGCTACGACCGGCAGTGTTCGGAACTCGACTTACCTTCCGCTTTCCGCGGGGAACCCGCTCGAGCCGTCCGCCGTCACGAGCTGGCGGAACGGGATCGCCGCTGCAGCTGGCGCGGATGGCGCGTCGCCTTTGCCGCCGCTCTCGGCGGCGGAGGATGCGGCAGCAGTTGCGGTGGGCGGCATTCTGGCTGCTGCTGGAGAGAGGTTGGTGGCTGGATTGGCGCCGCCTCGTTTGCGGAACCTGTTAGCTATAAACGAGGAAGTACTGTCGCGGATAGTAGGGTTGCCGCTAAGGGAAGTGCTTACTACGAGCGGGAAACGAGAGCAGCTTGGTACTGTGGATTGTCGGTGAAAGCTAATAACGGCGCTGCTATTAGTACTGGCCTTGAGACCACTCGTAGTGGCTGCTACTAAATACTGTGTGGCGCACCGTTGAAGGAGCGAGGGAGGCGCCATCGAGATCAACAAGCGACGGAGCACGTTGTTTAGGACAGTCTTGAAATATTTCCTTTGGATCTCTTTGCGTAACTCAAACCGTCCCCTGGATTTCTTTGTGTTTTCTTTATCTGCCCTGCTCGTCTGCGTAGTGCTAAAATCTGCAGCACCAGCCCCCTCTTAGAAGTTATTTAGCTAGCTAGAAAATCGTCAATAACTGAATGTATCGCATAGTAGTTACTTGCTTCCGTGCGCTTAGCAGCATGTCGCTGCCCGCCGCAAAAAGGGAGGTGTTGTCGGAACCCGCGGACCAGCCATCGGACCAATCCCGGAGCTAGGACGTGGATCTCATGTTGACATGCGTCGGACACTGGGAGGTTAGAAGGCTCCAAGCCGCGTTGCGATTGGGGAATCTATGCCACGCTGGCAAGGTGAGCTGGTCCTGTCCTGTTAGTTAGGCATAGCTAGTTTCGCCTGCAGCTTCGCCAGCCTAGCGAAGGAGCACCCGAAATTGCGTCAGACCTAACCTTCAACTCGTTATGAATAGGCTCGCCAACTACGGTAATGCTAGTCGATTCTACGTCACTTGTTTCGATATGAATTATGAATTCAACACGACCCGAACCTCATACAATCGGCGCAGCTTCTCGGAATTGTCCGCCTCTTTCTGGGTGGTTCGAGAAGAATGAAACGTAATTATGGTTACGCGTGTCGCGAATGTCGTTCTAGCCCTTGTGCTGCGATCCCTGTGCACGCACACCTGTCCAGCGGACCACCCCCTCTCACCATTGTTCGCGTCACTTCGCCAACACCCCTCGCACACAAAAATCTCCCTCAATTTTTACTTCGCACGTTTCGCGAGCCCCTCCTCCGCCACATCCCATCACTTCAGAAATGGGTTTTCCTCGGCTGTTATAAATTGACATCACTGGCATTCGTCTCTTGTCATTATTCCCAGAGTCGACATTTCAGCTCGTTTCCTTACTGGTACGTCAAGGTTTCCTTTTCTTGCACTGCCTTAGAATCGGCTTCATCGAGTGAACCGGGAATTTCCGCCGAACGCGTAGCGTTTTCCTCCCGCTTCTCGTACGCAATAACCCATCATCCAGCCATGGCGGCTGCCGCCTCTTCAGCCCTTCGCGTGCCACTTACTGCGCGTCTCGCCGCCTGCACCTCTTTTAAACGCCGTCCTATTTCCCCTCTTCCCACCGCCCTCCAGCAGTTCCCGTCGCCTACTAAGATCGCCCTTAGCTCGACACTACTAGCTCGGAAATCTACGAAATTCGCGAACTCGACGAAATTCTTGTCTTCGTCGCCGGCATCGCCGCGTCTGCCGGTGCAGCAGCTGCCTGCCGGTCGCCGCTCGCTCGTTGGGGTGACCTCAGCGGCTGCGACGTCTGCTTCTGATCCGGCCGCCACGTCAGCGAATTCCGACACGTCAGCGAATCCCACCGCGTCAGCAGGGCCCGCCATGGTGCAGACGGCGGTCCAGGAGACGAGCGCGGACGGCGCGTTCAAGCGCACGCCCTCCGCCTTCCGCAGCCTCATCACCGCGGATGGGTCCAGCGGCTTTCCCGCCGTTGCTGGAAGGTATGGCATTATTCGAATTGCCTTATAACGAGGACGGTGCGTTCAAGCGCGCGCTGTCCGCCTTCCGCAGCCTCATTACCGCGGATGGGTCCAGCTGATTCCCCGCTGTCGCTGGCAGGTATGGCTTGGTTCTGTAGTGCCTTATAACGCGTACAGAGTGTTCCAGCGCGCGCCCTCCGCCTTTCGCATCCTTATCTTCGACGATGGACCCAGCGGATTTCCCGCAATGCTGGCAGGCACGGAAATGGTATAAGTGTGGTTCAAGAATTGGCTTATAACGGGGACGGCTCGTTCAAGCGCCCGCCCTCCTCCTTCGGCAGCCTTCATTCCCGCTGATGGTGTGGAGGGTGGGGGGGGGGGAGGGGGAGTTGGGTTGGGGGGAGGGGGGGGGAGGGGGGGGGGGGGGGGGGGGGGGGGTGTGGGAAAATCTTCATGCCTTATAACGCGGATGGTGCGACCAAACGCACTCCCTCCGGACGTACTCCTTCCAACCCCATTCCACAGTGCATGCCACCTTCCCCCAGGTACCACCTGTACGTGAGCTACGCCCGCCCCTGGGCCTGTCCAGTCAGCCTTGCCTCTTGCACATCCTATCCTCGCAAAATTCTCCCTTCTTTCCTTTCCGCCCTCCCCCAGGTACCACCTGTACGTGAGCTTTGCCTGCTTCTGGGCGTGCTCCGCGTGTCCTCTTCCATTCTACCATGCCCTCGCCTCTCAATCCTCCTCCCCCCCCCCCCCCCCCTCCTCACATTCACGTGTAACCTCCGCCAGGTACCACCTGTACGTTAGCTACGCCTGCCCCTGGGCGTGCCGCTGCCTCATGACGCTCAAGCTCAAGGGGCTGGAGGACGCCATCTCCGTGACTGTACGTGGGTGTGACTGTACGTGGGTGTGACTGTACGTGGGTGTGACTGTACGTGGGTGTGACTGTACGTGGGTGTGACTGTTCGTGGGTGTGACTGTTCGTGGGTGTCACTGAAAGCCCGTGTGATAGTACATGAAAGGCCTCATGACGCTCAAGCTCAAGGGGCAAGAAGATGCGATCTATGTGACTCTACGTGGGTGTGACAGTATCTGTCGAGTTAATTTTGATGTTTCCTCGAGCTCAAGGGGCTGGACGTCGCCGTCTTTGTGACTGTACGTGGGTGTGTGACTATGATGAGTTTGGGTAGACTTAATTGTCACCTTACAGCTCAAGGGGTTGAAAGGGGGTGGGCGTCGACCATCTTAATAAGGCCCGATTCCTCTCGTTCTCCCCTCGTGCGCCTATTGCAGGTGGTTGAGCCGGTGTGGAAAAAAACGAGGGAGGGGGAGGACCACTTCGGCTGGCCTTTCGTCCCCCCTGGCGGCACGGCAGTCGTGGAGGGGGCAGAGAGCGACCCCCTGAATAAGGCTCTGTTCGTGAGGGATGTATACGAGAAGGCTGATCCTTATGCTGCCAAGTTTAGCGTACCGGTGAGTGCGAATGTATGGCTTTGTGACTCTCTCGCAGTGTGGCTGTACAGGCAAGGGTTGAGATGCTGCAAACCTTTATCGGTAGGAGCAGAGAGCGCTTTTGAGTCGGCCCACTGAATAAGGCCCTTTTCGTGAGGGATGTATTCGAGAAGGCTGATCCCTACGCTGCCAAGTTCAGCGTGTCGGTGAGTTCTGCTTTGCTCTACTTACACTTACACATAGTATTTCTCCAGCCTGCTAGTGAGTAAGGTTCGTACACTTACTGTCTTTTCTTTGAATAAGGTTCGTACACTTACTGTCTTTTCTCTGAATAAGGTTCTTGCACTTACGGACGTCCCTCCCTCCCCATCCCTCCTCGTCAGGTGCTGTGGGACAAGGAGACGGGCACCATAGTGAACAACGAGAGCAGCGAGATCATGAGGATGTTTAACTCCGAGTTCAACGCCATAGCCAAGCACCCTCAGGTGAGTTTACACACCATTGGTAGATTTTACACACCATTGGTAGATTTTACATACCATTGGTAGATTTTACACACCATTGGTAGATTTTACACACCATTGGTAGATTTTACATACCATTGGTAGATTTTACACACCATTGGTAGATTTTACACACCATTGGTAGATTTTACATAGTTGGGTGAAAACCGTCGTTTGAGGCGCCTCAAAATTTTACACACCATTGGTAGATTTTACATAGTCGGGTGAAAACCGTCGGTAAACTGCATCCCCTGGTGGAGGGTGAGATCCGTCGGTAAAAATCTAATGCGGTGCGCGGAAGTAGGCGATTTTTTAGAATTCTAAAAAATCGCCTACGACATGAGGTGCGCGGAAGTCAATGAGTTTGCAAGGTTTGCAGATGCCTAGAAAATGGACTCCACAGAGAGATGTAAATGAGTGGGCGTATCCATCGAGACGTAAATGGGTGGGCGTATCCATTGAGACGTAATTGAGTGGGCGTATCCATTGAGACGTAATTGAGTGGGCGTATCCATTGAGACGTAAATGAGTGGGCGTATCGTGTAATGCGTTGCTCCATTGCGTCTTCTTCCCCCTTGACGTTCTTTCCTCTCATCCCCCTATCCTCCCATCTCGCTATCCTCCCATCTCGCTATCCTCCCATCTCGCTATCCTCCCATCTCGCTATCCTCCCATCTCGCTATCCTCCCATCTCGCTATCCTCCCATCTCGCTATCCTCCCATCTCGCTATCCTCCCACCCCCCTCTCCTCCCACCTCCCTATCCTCCCACCTCCCTATCCTCCCACCTCCCTATCCTCCCACCTCCCTATCCTCCCACCCCCTATCACCTGTCACGGCTGGTGTGTACGAGCTCTCGATTCTTCCTTCACAGCCTCCGTATCGGTGGACATCTACCCCGCTCACCTCCGGGCTGCAATCGACGAGGTCAACGAGTGGTTCGCATCTCATGTGGACATCTACCCCTAACCCCTACGCATCCCTCCTAACCCCTCTCACCCCGGCCAGGTGGACATCTACCCCGCTCACCTGCGGGCTGCAATCGACGAGGTCAACGAGTGGGTGTACCCATCGATCAACAACGGAGTGTATCGGTGTGGCTTTGCCACCAAGCAAGCACCCTATGAGGAGGTGAGTGTACATTGTGGTTGATCTATCTCCTGCCGTAAAGGACGAGGTGAGCTATTCGGTCGACCAGCACCGGAGTGTATCTGTGCGGCTTCGCCACCAAGCAGGAGGAGGTGAGAGTGCATTGCGTACCTTATGATCATATCTCCTGCCGTAAAGGACGAGGTGAATTATTCGGTCGATCAAGAATGGAGTGTATCGGTGCGGTGTCGCCACCAAGCAGGCCCCCTATGAGGAGGTGGGTCTTTCCATTCAGGTGTGTCTGTCCCTATGCTGCTATAGATAAGGTGATTTAAGTGGATCTACTTATCGATCAACAACGGAGTGTATTGGAGTAGGCTTCCTACTAAGCAGGCACCCTATGAGGAGGTGGGTTTCCCGTTCAGGTGTCTTCGTCCCTGTGCTGCTATAGATGAGGTGAGTTCGTGGGTGTACCCATCGATCGGCAACGGAGTGTCTCGGTGTGGGATTGCCACCAAGCAGGCACCGTGCGAAGAAGTGTGGTTAGAAACTATGTATTGAGGGAGTTACGCATTTCTGTGTCGCAATTATGGTGTGTGCCGATGCGGTTTTGCCACCAAGGAAGCACCATAACATCGTTCAGTCGAACGTTTCTCCCATGTCTCGTGCTACCCTTTTTACAAACCCTTATAATGCTCCACACTGTTTTGTGTGTAATGAGTCGATTTTTGAGTCGACTAAAAAATCGGCTCAAAAACCGACTCAAAAATCGACTCATTACACACGGATTATAATGCACCACACTGTTTTTATACAGATCTGGCTGCATGCTTCCAGGTGTTTAGGACCACGCTGTGGAATAAGGAGGGAAGTGAATTACAATACATTCTCGCTGTGGTAGCTTGCGGTTCATTTTTTACTCTCTCTTCCTTTCATTTTTTATACGCTGTTCCTTTTCACTTCTCAATAACAGGCCTTTAAGGAGCTCTTCTCAGCGCTGGGCCGCTGTGAGGACATCTTGTCTCGCCAGCGCTTCATCGCAGGGGACACTTTCACGGAGGCCGACATCCGGCTGTTTGTCACGCTCATTCGCTTTGATGAGGTAAGATTGTAGTTTTGAGGCGCCTCAAAACGCTCATTCGCTTCGATGAGGTAAGATTGTATCCAGTTCGCATCCAGTTTTGAGGCGCCTCAAAACAAGATTGTAGCATCCAGGATAATATACACTTGGATCAGCTATTCTTTCACTCACCTTCTTTTCTCCAGCCCTTCTTTCTCCAGTCCTTTTTTCTCCAGCCTTTTTCTCCAGCCCTTTTTCACCTCCCCTCCTCATCTTCTCTTCACTCCTCTCTCTCCCACCGTCTCTTTTCTCCCCACCCCCTCCTCCCTACTCCCTCCCATGCACACGCATGCAATCACTCTTGCGTCCACAGGTGTACGTGGTGCATTTCAAGTGTAATCGCAATTTCATCCGCGACTTCCCCAACCTCTTCAACTACACCAAGGAAATTTTCCAGCTGCCCGGAATAGCCTCTACAGTAAACATGGCACATATAAAATCGCACTACTTCCGGAGCCACCCATCAATCAACCCCTTTGGGATTATCCCTGGGGGTCAGGGTACCGACTATACCATGCCTCATGACAGAAGCAGGTTGCCGGACGTGGCTCTCCCTTGTGGGAAGATGTGAGTCGCAAGGTTGAAACCACCCGTGTGGGAAGGCTTGAGAGTGAGAAGATTTGGTGCACAATTTGACCAGTGCCGAGGTGCCACGTGGCAAACTGTGGATGAGTGAAATCATTTATGTTCTGTTGATTTGCTGGAATCAAGTTTTGGATAAAAAGGGTACTACTTAGGAAGTCACACTAGAACACTAGCCACTCAGCCATCAACCTTGTCATCAAGACACCACCACTGATTATATGGGCCAGGGCAGGGTGGACTATTAGTGCATGCCACAACAGAAGCAGGCTGCCTGGTATCTCTCCTTGGTGAGAGGATGTAAGCGGCAAGATTAAAATGAAAGATGGAGTGCACAGTGTGGCCGTGACATGCTCACATCTGGCAATGCCTGGAGCCTTGTATAAGACACTTCGCTCGGAAGAACATCGGTCTGGGAGGAAGGAGGGGTTGAGCGACTCGGGCTGAGGAAGGCAAGCGCGCATGGGGAGGGTGGGAGTGAAGGAAGTTAGGAAGGGTCATAATGGAGGCAGATGAGCATGAAAGGGGGTAAGGAAAGTCGACATGTTGCAAAAAATGTCAAAACTGAACCATGTGAGAACGAACTAAATCGGGGTGTTGCGAGAATCGAACTCGCGACCTCTCGCACCCAAAGCGAGAATCATACCACTAGACCAAACACCCGTGTAATTAAGTTTTCACTGTATATTCAGAATACTTTATCAACACGTCAGCTTACTTTCGTTCCTGGGGAGCCGTTTTCTGAAAATACCTCCAGATAAATCCACAAGTGCGAGCGAGCAGGTGCAACATGCAATCCTCGCGCGGGCACTACCGCGTCGCGTAGGCTCTCGTCCGCGGCGCAATCGAGGGACGCAGAGTTGCCGAGGGAGGTCAACGTGAGCCACGGCGGCTGGGCTACTACTATCTCCGCGAGAGAGATCCTCAGGTGCCACATCGCCCACCTCGCGATTCCAACCTCGCACTCCCATCTCGCGCTGCAGCAACAGCGGCGCGTTTCCTATTCCCTACTGCCCTTCGCCAGGTGAGAATGGGCCCTTCAGCTTGTCTGTGCCGTTTGGGGAATGAGGCCTCTGGGTCCGACCCTGCGCGGCGGAGGGATGCAAGGCTGGGATCGTGCCGCCGAACCTTCCCCCCTCTCCCCCTTCACTCTCCACCTCCCCCCCACCCCCCTTCTCCCCTTAAACCCTCAACCCCCCTCCCCTACCCAGCCCTCCCTCCCCCCCACCTCCCCCCTACCCCCCTTCCTTTTCGGGTTTAAGGTTTAGGGTATATCTTCCTGCCCGCCCCCGCTGCTCTCTCTGCTCCACTCCCGCTCCACTCATCTTCTCGCCTCTCCCGTTCCTCCACTCCTACACCCTCCTCCACTCCTCCACTCTCCTCCACTCCTCCACTCTCCTCCAGTCCTCCACTCTCCTTCACTCCTCCACTCTCCTCCAGTCTCCCCTGTCACTCCCGCCACTCTCCCTACTCCGCTTTCGATTTCCTCTCCTCCCACCAAGTGGTGTTTTCTCCGTTCCTCCGTTCCTCCACGCCTCCACTCACCTTCCGTCTCCCCTGTCGCTCCTGCTACTCTCTCTACTCCGCTCGTTTTCTCACCTCTCCCACTTCTCCCGCTCCTCCCGCTCCTCCCGCTCCTCCCCTCCTTCCCGCCTCCCCGCCTCCCCACCTCCCCTCCTCCCCTCCTCCCCTCCTCCCCTCCTCCCTGCCTCCTCTCCACCCCTCCTCCCCTCCTCCCCTCCTCCTCCCACTCCCCTCCTCCCCTCCTCCCCACGTGCGCCTGCACGCTGCTGGCGGAGCAGGCCTATTGCAGCATGCCATATTCCCGATATTCCCCATATTCCCCATATACTCCATATACTCCATATACTCCATATTCCCCATATACTCCATATACTCCATATACTCCATATTCCCCATATACTCCATATACTCCATATACTCCATATTCCCCATATACTCCATTTTCTCCATATTCCCCATATACTCCATTTTCTCCATATTCCCCATATACTCCATATGCTCCATATTCCCCATATACTCCATGTACTCCATATACTCCATATTCCCCATATACTCCATTTTCTCCATATTCCCCATATACTCCATTTTCTCCATATTCCCCATATACTCCATTTTCTCCATATTCCCCATATACTCCATATACTCCATATTCCCCATATACTCCATGTACTCCATATACTCCATATTCCCCATATACTCCATTTTCTCCATATTCCCCATATACTCCATTTTCTCCATATTCCCCATATACTCCATAGTCCCCATATACTCCACATTCCCCTCTTCTTTCCCCCCTCCTATACCACCACCACCTCGTATCAGCGCTCAAATGGAGTTGTGCCGCATGTGCTCCAGCACACAGGTGACGGAGCAGCGCCACATTCACATCTTCACACCTTTCAACCCCTGTCCACCCCTTTCAAAACCTGTCCACCGCTTTCAACCCCTTTTCCCTCCCCGCGCTCTATCTCCTCTCCCACTGCCACCACCATCACCTTCCATCAGCGCGTTGATGGAGTTCTGCCCCACGTGCGCCAGCATGCTTCCAGTGGAGCAGCAGGTTGCCCACTTGCCATTCTCCTTCTCCTCTTCTCCCCTCAGGTGCCTTGCCTCCCCTCCTCCTCGCTCTTCCCCACTGCGCCTGATGGAGCTCGGCCCCACGTGCGCCAACACGCTGCTGGTACAGCGGGCCCACATGGGGCGAGAGGCTCACACGCCTTATCCCGTCCTCACACTCCTCATCTGCCCGTTCCTTCCCCCCTGCCGCATTACCTAGTCACAGCGCTCTAGACGGAGTGCTGCCCCACGTGTGCCAACATGCTTCTGGTGGAGCAGGTCCACATGGGGCGAGAGGCTCACACGCCTTATCCCGTCCTCACACTCCTCATCTGCCCGTTCCTTCCCCCCTGCCGCATTACCTAGTCACAGCGCTCTAGACGGAGTGCTGCCCCACGTGTGCCAACATGCTTCTGGTGGAGCAGGTCCACATGGGGCGAGAGGCTCACACGCCTTATCCCGTCCTCACACTCCTCATCTGCCCGTTCCTTCCCCCCTGCCGCATTACCTAGTCACAGCGCTCTAGACGGAGTGCTGCCCCACGTGTGCCAACATGCTTCTGGTGGAGCAGGTCCACATGGGGCGAGAGGCTCACACGCCTTATCCCGTCCTCACACTCCTCATCTGCCCGTTCCTTCCCCATGTGACTTTGCAGGGTGTTTTTGAGAATTCTCCTCCTGCATTCTCAAAAACACCCTGCATTATTCCCTCCTCATCTGCCCGTTCCTTCCCGTTCATCTGTGACTAGGGCGTCTAGAGCGCTGTGACTAGCCCGTTCCTTGCCCGTTCATACCGCATTACCTTGTCACAGCGCTCTAGACGGAGTGCTGCCCCATGTGTGCCAACATGCTTCTGGTGGAGCAGGTCCACATGGGGCGAGAGGCTCACGTTGTCTCCCCTTTCCTTTCCCCCTACCACCACCGCCATCACATCACCTTTCATCAGCGCCTAGATGGAGTTCTGCCCCACGTGCGCCAACATGCTGCTGGTGGAGCAGGCCCACATGGGGCGAGAGGCACGGTTTTTCTGCCAGACATGCCCCTACGTGTATGGCATAACGAGAAAGGTGAGTGTGACAGTATAAGAAAGGTGAGTGTGACAGTATAAGAAAGGTGAGTGTGACAGTATAAGAAAGGTGAGTGTGACAGTATAAGAAAGGTGATTGCTGAGGCACGGGTCTTCTGCCAGACATGCCCCCCTGTCTACGGCATGACACGAGGAAGGTGAGTGATTGCTGAGTGATTGCATCACACGAGACAATGCTTGTCAACCGTGCTCAACGTGCCCCCCTATGTCTCATGTTCCCCTGTCTGCGGCATCACCAGGAAGGTGAGTGTGACAGTATCAGAGAGGTGGCTTTAAGAATGATAAAAAACACTCTGCAGAATCAGAGAGGTGGCTTTAAGAATGATAAAAAACACTCTGCAGAATCAGAGAGGTGGCTTTAAGAATGATAAAAAACACTCTGCAAAATCAGAGAGGTGACTCTTGAGGCGCGATTCCTTTGCCAAGCATGCCCCCCCTATGTCTGTGGCGTCATATGAAAGGTGAGTCTGCTGAGACGTGCCCCTATGTCGACGGCATCACCAGAAAGGTAAGTCTGCTCGGACATGCCCCCATGCCGTCTGTCTTCTGACAGACATGCCCCTATGTCCATGGCATCAGACGAAAGGTGAGTCTGCTGAGGCGTGCCCCTATGCCCTATGTCTATGGCATTACGCGGGAGGTGAGTCTTCAGGGGTGGAGGACGAGCTGGGTGGGACACACTTAATGTAACTTCACTAGCTATACTCCCTTCCATTTATGTTTCTCCAACCCATATCCCCCTCAATCTAGAGTTCTTAGGGGCATGCCTCCCCTCCAACCCGGCAGCTGGTGGTGCCAAGGGAGGTGGATGACGTGTTGGGAGAGGATTGAGTGATGTGTTTCTCAAGATGTATGATTGATTCTCTTCATCTTCCCCCACCCATCCCCTCTCCCACTCGATATATAGATTTCAAGGCGGCAACTGGTGGTGCAGAAGGAGGTGGATGATGTGTTGGGAGGGGAAGACGCATGGAAGAATGTGGACAAAACCGAAGGTACGCGTGTGTTACAGAAGCTGCACAATGTGGCAGTTTTTTTTTTTTTTTTTTTTTTTTTTTTTTTTTTTTTTTTCCATGCACGAAAACCAGGCCAGCAGGCTGTGCAGTAGCATCTCTAGGCGATATATGGCATCAGATGTTTATGCTTGTATTTGTTTCATCTTCGTTTCTGTGTGCTATGTGCAGCTTCGTGTCCCAAGTGTGGCCATTCACAAGCCTTCTTCATGCAAATTCAGACTCGATCAGCTGATGAGCCCATGACTATATTTTACAAGTGTTGCAACATGAGATGTGGCTACAGATGGAAAGAGGGATAGTGTCCTGAACTGTGTTTATACCGAACGACGCGCTTCATTCTGCTGGCCTGTACAGTACAGTAACGTGAAATCTCAATGGCTGCTTCGTTGTTCCTAGATTCACGGACGTCCCGCACATTTCGGCCAATAGAAGACACCCCTTGAATCTCGGTTTGCTTTGCGAATTTGACTATCTGTTCGCAACGCTTCGCATACCTTATCAGCCGCACGCGAAAATCCACCTGTGGTTCGCGATAGCTAATCTGGCGGACAACCTGGGTCCCATCCGAACCAAATTGCTTGTGCCTTCTGCAGCCACCACGCAGGTTTTTCGCGAATTCCCGAGCCTTCGACAAATACTTCCAAGCCAAACCTACAATCAAACGAACAATTTGGGTTGGTTCAAAATCTTTTCAGGCTCTCCGGACCTCATTCCTAGCTTCACTCCGCCTGCTTCGCCAATCTCGCCTTGCCCCGCTTGGTTCGGCCCAGATAATTCGCCACTGCCTGCGCCTCGGCAATTCCTTGGCGGCAATTAGGTCCAGGGGCGCAGAAATTGTTGATGGATGCATTTCGTATTTTGCGCCCCCCCTCCCCACACCAGCTACCCATCCATTCTCCCCTCGCCTCATCTCTCTCGAATCTCGATTCTTCTGGGCACCCCTTCTGCTGTATACAGGTTGTTGGAGGGCAGGGCAGAGAGGGAGCTTGAGATTCCAGATTTCCCTGCTGGCGCAGGTGGACCTCCCAGTGGGCTGCCAGTGGTGGGCTTTCCTGCTGAGCAGGTTTCTTGGTGGATCCGTGGCTTGAAATCGCAGCCAAGAGATTCCCTTCCCAGCGGCGATTTCACATCCCTTCAGTTCGTCGGATTATCGCCGGCTTAGTCCTCTCGCCTGCGTCGTTCGGCGTGCTGCGGTGAACACTCGCCGCCGCGGTTCAGCAGGACGCGGTTCGCCATAGTGCAGATTTGCCGTGCCGCGATCTGGACAAGCCAGTTGCGCATTCTCGCGGCCGGATTTGCACATCTCGCGGCGCATTGCACGGAGAGGGAAGCATGGCGCGTATGCGCGGATCCGCGTCGATCCAAGTGCTGCTCGTTCTCCTCGCGCTGCTCGTCTCGCCATCTCTAGCCAAGACCCCGTCGCCTCCCCCTCCCAAGAAATCCCCGCCCTCTCCGCCGCCAGTACCGGCGCCTTCTCCGGCGCCCATTCCTTCCCCCGCCCCAACCCCCGCGCCTTCCCCAACTCCCGCACCCTCCCCAACGCCCGCACCCGCGCCCGCCTCTATCGCTCCGCCCATTCCTCCCCCTGTCCTCGCCCCGCAACCCGCACCCACACCCGCTCCCACCCCGTCTGCCCCCCCCGTTCCCCCTCCCGCGCCTCCCCCCGAGATCTCCCCGCCAGTGGCTCCCCCGGTTCTTCCCCCCGCGCCGCCGCCAGTTGTCGGAGCCCCGCCAGAAATCCCCCCACGGGATGCCGCTCCTCCCTCGGAGGCAGGGCGCGGGGAAGCCCCTCCGCCAGAGGCAGGGCGCGGGGAAGCCCCTCCGCCAGAGGCAGGGCGCGGGGAAGCCCCTTCGCCAGAGGCAGGGCGCGGGGAAGCCCCTCCGCCAGAGCCAGGGCGCGGGGAAGCCCCGCAGCCGGCGCTGTTTCCCCCGCCGCAGGGTGTGCAGGGGAATGACTACATGCCCGTCGATGACTACGCCGATTTCGTGCGCTCGCTGACTCCGCCGCCTCCGCCGGCGCCCGCGCCGTCGAGCGGGCTGAGCGGAGGCGCGATCGCGGGAGCGGTGATCGGAGTGATTCTGGGAGTCGGCGTTCTGGCGTTCGTCATCTGGATCTGCGTTCAGCGGTCGCGAAATGCCGCTCGTACTGCGGGGCGCGGCGGTTACGGCGACGTGAACTTGTAACTCTTTCGTTTCGCTGAGCTTCGCGGAGGGTGTCGCGAATCGAGAAATGCCCCGTTATGAGATTCTTCGTTTGGTGGCATTGTGTTCGGATCGTCGAAATGAAAAACAGTGAGTTGCGGCACGGGTGTAGTGCCGTCCTGGATTCATTCGGAACGAAGCAGCGTCAGATCTGCTTGTAGCGGGTATTTCTAGTGGTGGGACATTTCTAGTGTGACATTGCTAGTGGGATATTGTTTACTGTAGCTTCGCAGGTATTTTCGTTGTCGTGTGCCCTGCTGAACATCAAAGTCAAAATTCAAGTGTTAAACAAAGTACAACCAAATCACGAAGGGAATCCACCAGGCTGCATTTATCTAAAACCTAAGCTGCCTTCCCCCCTCTTCCTTCCCCTCCCCCTCTTCCTTCCCCTCGCCCTCTCTTTCCCGTGCGTCCCTCTGTTCTCACCTTGCACTCTCTCCGCCTGTCGATTAACTCCGCTGGGCCTCCGCTTGTCCCTGGCCTCCCGTCCTCTCTCTCGTGCTCTCTCGCTCTCCCCCCCCCCACCCCCCTAAATTCTCTCGCTCTCGCATCTCTCCCTCCTCCCTTCCTGCTCATCCCACTTCTCTCATTCGCGTACCTTGTTGAGCCCACTCTTCTCCAACACTCCATCGCTTCCTTCCTCTCCCACCCTTAACTACCTCCCTGGCCCCCTCCCTCCCTCCCTCCCTCCCTCCCTCACTGCCCCACAAGTCCCCTTCCCTCCCTCCCTCCCCCCTCCCTCACTGTCTCACTGCCTCCCTGCTTCCCTGCTTCCCTCCCTCCCTCCCTCCCTGCCCCCAGTCATTCTTCCTGCCTCACTGCTCCACTGCCCCACTGCCTCACTGCCTCCCTGCCTCCCTGCATCCATCCCTTCCTGACTCCCTGCATCCCTCCCTACCTACATTTCAGCCCCCCTGCTCCCCTCTTCCCCTTTGCCCCCCAGCATCCATCCATCCATATGTTTCTCCCGCTCTCGGTCTATCTTCCCCTCACGTCTTGCCTCCCTCCCTCCTGCTTTACTTCCTTGCCCTCACTCTCTCTTCTCTCTCCTCCCCCCCCTCCCCGCTGCTCACATACTCCATCTCCCTCACTCACTCTCTGCCTCCCTTCGTAACTCTTTTCACCACGGAGTCTTTCGCCCTTGGATGATCTTATGCCTCGGATGGTCACATGCCATTGCTGCTAACTGAAGTCTCTAATAATTTACCTTTTGGCAACTCAAAAGTTACCGCTGCTGGCTGAAGTATGGTTGCAGTCCTTGACAATAGATTACAAGCAAGAGTTACGTGCGTTAGGGTCAGAGCATCACACATGGCTTGGCTTGTATTGGTTGGATCCATAACATTCAAGTGGTACATTGGCACTGCTGACTTTACATGGGCTGTTCTCGTGGCGCTTGGGACGAACATAAAGGCTCTTAGCGTTGAGCTTAGAGAGAGATTTGAGGGTATGGGAAGAGCTTTTTAACAAGGTTCTGACTTTCTTGCCTCCTTTGGACAATGCGTCGAAACAGCTCACTACCAGTGGAGCTCTCTGTACCGAGAAACATTCTTCCCAGGCGCGGCTGTGGTCTGCTTGGGCTTGCGTGTACAGTATCTGGCTCACTGGCCCACACGTATTGGCTAGAACGGTGTCTCGCCTGGCGCCAGCAGTGGCTGACTCGGCGCAGCGCAGGGCAACCTTTGCACTGTAGCTTGTGGGGGAGCTGGGGGCTTGACGAATCACAGCTGTCGCCACCGTCAGCAACGGAACAGACGGGTGCAGCTGCATGCGTGGATCCGTTGGGAATTTTGTCCCCAATTCCATGGCCAGCATGTTTTACACCGAGCCAAAACAGTCCTTAACGATTTCAACCGCGATGAACACCTCCAATCTCCAGCGGAGAGTGGGTCAGAGTGTGGCCGAGTGGGGCAGGAAATTTTATGCTGAACAGGGTGTCAGACATCCACATCCGAGTTCGAGCCAAATAAACTTGAACAGGCGAAGTCGTGGGTTCTCCCATGATGTCTTCGCAAATTTTCCATCTCCGGCTTCGCAGAAGCCATTCGGCGCAACACGAAACTGCTTTCGCAATCGCCATTGTCGTCGTAAATCGAAAGCCCCTGCATTCGCCCTCGTCTCCTCAATCAAGTTCAACTTGATTTTTCTTGGAATTTATTTCGGGTACAGGGAAACATAAATGCCCCCCCTTCGGCCATGCCGCCGTAGTCAGGAACGAGGCCAGAGAGATTACGCATACCGCCACAGCTTCTCTTGTTTACTTCGTTTTCTGGGTCTCCAGAACATACACCAGGTGCAACGGTCTGCTAGAATCCCATTTCCCATTTTAGTCGTGAAGAATGCACATTAGTTAGATGCTGGCGCGCGCCGTGCGCCAATAGTTTCCACGAGTACTTTCAACCCAATCTCCTGGTATCTCCCCCAGGTATACATACATTCGATATAGCAGCTCCTAAGTCACGGCTGGCATTGCATCTTTTGGTACTCACGACGCCACTAATTTATTCTAGGTACCGAAACTTAGGTAGTTAAAAAGTCGCTGACCGAGACGCCATGATGCACCCGAAGCGCGGCGCAGGCTTTAAGCGCGTCAGCCACGGCGACTCGCTCGTGCGAGCGCTTCTCGCGGCGCTCGCCTCCTTCCTCGCCGCAGCGTTCATCTGCGTCGTTCTCATCCTCGCTACAGGCGCATCCGTTACCATCTTCCCCGTTCCGCCCGTTGTCGTCGCAAAGAAGGCGGCGGAAGCGCAAGGCGGCGGCTCCGCGGGAGGCGCAGGGGCGGCGGCGGGGGAGGCGGGCGGAGCAGCCGCAGGGGGAAGCGGAGGGGCGAACGTGCCGTTTCTGTCGGATTTCGATTTATCGAAGCCGATTGTAGGGGGGCCGGAGACGAAAAAGCAGACTATTGATGAGGCGGATTTCAACCACGGGGAGGCTGTTTACCAGGTGCAACTATTCTTTTCTAGCTAGTAAACGAGTCCAGTTTTCGTATGGCTCGTGAAGCCGAGTCCATTTTTGGGTCGCTATGCAGTGATTCTGTATGGTTTTACGGGTCTTTGCAGAAGGATTAATAGAAGGATTCATAGACGAATAATATTTTGTTGTTTTTTTACCGTCTCTAGACTTCGACTGTAGACAACAAGCTGAATTAGGCATTTTGGGCAGGCCGACATAAGAGCCCTTGTATGCATTTCGGCTTAGGATTCAAGGCGACGTGAGGCTAGACATATTAGTTAGTGTAACCGAGAAACCGATTTTTCGCCAATCTTCGTCCCCCATTTCCCCCCCTCGAGACGCACCTAGCCAAGCGCAATGGGATGATGGGCGAGAGCCAACCAACGCCTCCGGCCTTTCCTCCCCCCCTTTCCCCCCTTCCCCCCCCTTTCCCCCCCTTCCCCCCCCTTTCCCCCCCTTCCCCCCCTTTCCCCCCCTTCCCCCCCTTTCCCCCCCTTCCCCCCCCTCTCTCCTCCCCCCTCCCCCTTAACCACCCCCCCTTCCCCCGCACCCCTCCCTTCGAGGTGCACCTAGCCAGGCGCAATCCTGCCACGCCTAACCTGCGATTCCGCTGCTCTCTGAGAAAGATGTATTAAGACCATTCGAGATGCGCCTAGCCAAGCGCAACGAGATGAAGGGCGGAATCCAACTCCCCCGGGCTTTCTGTTGAGACGTCTCAAAATCCGTGGTTAAGTAGGTTAGTCTTTGAGACGTCTCAAAACGAATCCAACCTCTCCAGGCTTTCCCTTTCCCCCACCCCTTCCCCCCCTTGGTCAACAACGCCTCTCCCCCCTCTCCCGTCCCCTCTCCCGCCCCTCTCCCGCCCCCTCTCCCCACTTCCCCGCACCCCCCTGTACCCAGATGCACCTAGCCAGGCGCAATGAGATGATGGGCGGAAGGAAGTAGGCCCAAGCCAATACCGCTCCCCCCAATCCCCCCTTCCCCCTACCCTCCCCCCTCCCCCAGATGCACGTGGCCCAGCGCAGCGAGATGATGGGCGGAAGCAGGCCCAAGCCGCCCTACCGCGGATGGAACGCGGGGAAGGTGGGGGCAGGGGGAAGGGCAGGGGGGAGGGCCGGGGGGAAGGGCAGGGGGGGAGGGCAGGGGGGGAGGACAGGGGAGGAGGGCAGGGGGGAAGGGCAGGGGGGATGGCAGGGGGGGAGGGCAGGGGACAGGGCAGGGGGGGAGGGCAGGGGGAAGGGCAGGGGGGAAGGGCAGGGGGGATGGCAGGGGGGGAGGGCAGGGGGGAAGGGCAGGGGGGAGGGCAGGGGGGGATGGCAGGGGGGAAGGGCAGGGGGGATGGCAGGGGGGGAGGGCAGGGGGACAGGGCAGGGGGGGAGGGCAGGGGGAAGGGCAGGGGGGAAGGGCAGGGGGGGATGGCAGGGGGGAGGGCAGGGGGGAAGGGCAGGGGGGAGGGCAGGGGGGGATGGCAGGGGGGGAGGGCAGGGGGGATGGCAGGGGGGAAGGGCAGGGGGGGATGGCAGGGGGGGAGGGCAGGGGGACAGGGCAGGGGGGAGGGCAGGGGGGAAGGGCAGGGGGGAAGGGCAGGGGGGGATGGCAGGGGGGAGGGCAGGGGGAAGGGCAGGGGGGGAGGGCAGGGGGGGATGGCAGGGGGGAGGGCAGGGGGGGATGGCAGGGGGGGAGGGCAGGGGGGGATGGCAGGGGAGGGGAGAAAAGTGTGGGAGGGGGGAAGGAGGCCCAAGCCGCCCTACCGCAGATAGAAAATGGGGAAGGTGGGGGCAGGGGAAAGGACAGGGGGAAAGGACAGGGGGAAGGGCAAGGGGAAGGGCAGGAAGGGGGGGGGCGGGGGGACGGGGGAGGTGGTCAGGGGACGGGGGAGGTGGTCGGGGGACGGGGGAGGTGGTCAGGGGACGGGGGAGGTGGTCGGGGGACGGGGGAGGTGGTCAGGGGACGGGGGAGGTGGTCGGGGGATGCGGATGGAGTCCAGGGAGGGGGGGAGGGGGAGAGATCAGATGGGCCTGTATGAAAGGAAGGATTGAGGGAAGGGTATGGTGGTATGAGGGGAAGGGTATGGTGGTATGAGGGGAAGGGTGTGATGGTTTTTGAGTCGACTCAAGAGCAGGGTATGTATGGTGGTATGAAGAATTGAGTTGAGAGATCAGAGTGTTTCTGTCGCCTTTGTACACATTCCCATTTTCCTCAAGTGCATGTTATATTTTTGAGGCGCCTCAAAAATAGTTATATTGCCCCTAATCCGCCTTCCTGTTTCTTCGGACATAATTCCAGTGAGCGCAATTAGGACGACAGTTCCAGTTGGAACTGCGCTCACTGGCT